ATGTGTCCAAACGATAAAGAATGCATCTAACGTTCCGCTGTTCATTATAATAAAAAAACAGAGCATTAAACAAACCATCATGCTCTTACTTTGAAATCATGAGAAAATGTCATCATCAGCAGGCCATCACCTGGTTTCCGAAAATCACCGAGTGACACGAGTAGATTTTAGCCGAGACCGGTGGAAAATATGTCTCAAAATTCCGTGTGTGTAAAAAGACGATCCACAAGCAGAAATATGAGATCCACGAGCAGAGATTTGAGATCGGCAAGCGCATTTTTGGTCGACAAATACAAAATGGATTCACAAATGCCTGATCAAAAGTTGTCAATGTTAAAGAGATAATCACAGATCTTTTTTTTATTTGTGAAAATATTTAGCGTATTTGCAGATCCGTTTTACACTTGCACATTTATTTGTGAGTTTGCAAATCTTTTAAATGCATTTGTGGATGGTGTTTTACATTTACAAATCACTATTTACACCCAAATTATTTTTATGTTCACACAAATAATTATGAGAAATATCTATGCCCATAAGGCAGGGCCCATAGTGATAGCCCTATAGTTTAAATCTACTACCCACAAATAAACATATGGACATGGGTTACTATTTAAAAAAAATAGTAAATGTATTTAGGAACCTATCAATGTGATTTTAAATGGGGGTGGACTCAAATCCTCTAGGGGGGTCCTAGAGGATGCTTCCCCGGTAAGATTTTTTTTTTAAATGTTGGAGTTAAATGCATCAATCTGGTGCATTTTGAGGGGGAAATAAAGAGACTAGATCTATGGAAACACCTATATGAAACAGAACTGTATACATTTCAATAATCATAAAATCATTGCCATAACCAATAACATACCATTTCCAATATGAAAAACACTGAAACTTGTTTATTTATTTATTTTTGGTTCATTTATAGTTGTGAGTGTGTCTGTGCTCCTGAATCAGCCTCTCCTGTCTCCCTCCTCTCCTCCCTTCTCCTCTTTGAGGCAGCAGCAAAGACTAGTTTTAGCTCTCAACAAGTTTATCTTACCTTTTTTCACCTAGTTAACTTTTTATTGATTTATTCATGCATATTTGACTAATCACTACCCTCTCAAATGGAAATATGTGTTTACATAAATGGTGACCAAACCGTTTGAGACCCACTGAGAACTTAGACTAAGTTGACTATTGTTATGGAAATCTGAGACCCAACACTGTGGAGAGTAGCCTACAAGTCAGAGTGATCAAAAACAAATAAATGGTGAATCAGACAGAGTTGTCTTTCTGGTTATTTATTTGAAGCTTCAAATACATAAGATACAATAAAAAGACCCAGGTCTCACAGAGTATAGAATAGTCTGCGTGAGTGTGCGCAGTACAATATGGTAGCAAGGCTTATATACAGGAAAGAGTGAGAAGGTTAGAAATCTGTCTTCACACGGTCACATTGTTATTAGACACCTGTCCTTGAGCTGTAGATATTATAACGGTTCTCAGGAAAGGTTCTTGTGTGACTTTGTGTGAGTCTCAACCAAATAGCAGCTGTGGCCTTGAAGTGCTTGGGAATAAACCCACAGTAGAGTAGATAGAGGAAAACAGCACATCTCAGGAAATGAGAAGCATTTGGTTACTTTAAACATATAAGGATATAATAAAAATGTCCACTACACTATCTAAACACTCAGAGTCCTTTGCTTCACCTGAGGTTATCCCAAGCTTGAATGACACACAGAGACCAATCAAGGACTTTGATTTATGATCTGTATGACAGTGGCCATGTCGGCAGGCCACATCATGTAGACGGACTGGCCATCGGGAAACCCCCCGGTCCTCCCGATGGCCAGTCCGGGACTGGGTACAGGAGGTGTAGAGTGAGGGATCATTGTCCACAAGTTAATCGATCGCAGATGGCGTCGTGGTCACGGACACATTTTTTTAAAATTATTAACAGGTCGCGAAATATACTTGGGCGGCCGTTACCCAAGTATAGTCTATGTGTGGGAATCCCTGAATAAGAAAAACAAATCTTGAAACTAATTCGTTTTTTTACACATTTTTACACATTAATTTTGTGTGCATTTTTTTTACCCAAAAATGCACACAAAAGCACAAATAAGACCTATATACATGGATTCATTAATTATAATTAATGAAGAAACGTCAGAGCGAGGGGGCTGCCTATGGACTGGATACAGTATTGGGTTCGGTTTCTTGCTCAAGGGCACCTCGGCAGTGCCTGGGAGGTTAACTGGTGACCTTCTGGTTATCTCTCGCTCTCTTAATCTCAAATTCAAATTCTTTATTTGCATGACCTTAATGACACACAGTTTTGCCAAAGCTTTGTACAATTACAACAAACACCTATACATAGATATACATTTGAAATGTATTGTTGTGTTCACATTTGGAACAAAAGCAGAATAAAAGGTAAAACAATGTACTTTTTTTTAACATGACCAAACAAATATTAAAGTAAAAGAAAAATACACAACCCCTTTCCTTTCATGAAGCCCGTAAAAAGAAAAAAAGGCAACAACATGAACCATAAGGGTGAATTATTGATCATTATGAAGGATATTTCAGATAAAATAAACATATGACACATCAATAAAAAGAAAATAGATGTGAGGTCTCGTGTCAGTCTGATCCCTCATGTCTCACACACACACACACACACACACACACACACACACACACACACACACACACACACACACACACGCACACGCACACGCACACAAACACACACACACACACACACACACACACACACACACACACACACACACACACACACACACACACACACACACACGCACACAAACACACACTGTCTGACAGCAACCCCAGAAGCCATTTGTCTCTAGTGGGCTGGAAGTACAGTATTTGTGATTCAGTCGTTTTTGTTGTTCAGATCTTTAGTGACACTGAGCACAGGAAAACCGTCAAACACAGTCACACCCCCCCATGAAGAATAGAAGGAAGAGAGAAAGGGGAAAGTCATAGAGCGCTATTTCTGTTTTGAGCTGCAGAGTCATCAACTGCTGTCTCACCATCTGTTCCTCTGTCCGCACCAGTGGCTTTCAAACACTCTCTTTTTTGCGTTTTTGTTGTTGTTGTAGACTCATAGAAACTCTCACCCACTAAAAATGCAAACTATTTTTGAATACATTGACCCACAGTATTTGTTCGCCCTCGTCTTACATAGCTGGATATATTGTGATTTCCCCAAGGCCACACATCAGGCCAGCTTGTCCCTTAAACACGCATTCAACACATCCTCACGATACAACAGTGCCCCCTGCTGGCTAAATCACTACTATCCACTCATTACAAGCTGACACATCAGAACTGTGGCATTCTTGGGAACTAAATAACTAATGTGTCAGACTTGAATGATGCCTAACATGCAAAGTATATGTACACACCCTGAAGCTAACACACACAAAACACACATTATGGCTATATACATAACCAGTCTTGGGTGATTTAATTTAGACCTTGTCCAGCCCTGCTTTAAGATGACTTCACTCACTAAATCTCTTTCATTCTCTTCCATGTTTATTCAGCACTTCACTGCAATATATCCTGATCTGTTTCCTGCTGCTTGCCTATTCAAATTCCTCTTAAATATAGAACACTCTGTTTAATTAACTTGATGGATGCACCCAGTCTGATCCCACAGGGAAGGAGAAGGTAGAACAGAGAGAGAAAATGAGTGTCAGAGTTCTGAGGAGTGTAGCTACAGTATATATATTATGTATATAATGCTACTGATGCCAATGTCTTCTGTTTATTTTATGTTATTTATTTCCTTTTTTGCCAGGGACACAAACACATCTTTATTTTTTAAAGAGATAAGGTCTTTTAGCCCTTTATTATACTAACTCTTGATGAGCACAAGTTCCTAAAAATAACTATTCCAAAAGCCTCTTTAGCCTGCTACCCAATACCAACTCAAAGAGACCAGTGGCAGTGATAGAATTTCTCGTATGTCTTTTATATCATACTCTATTATTACACGTAATTTTTTACAATAACAGGATATATTTAATATTTCCTGTAGTGTGATATATATGTTTTTGTTTATGTAAATGGTCTACAAAGGCTTTGTTTACTTACGTAATATACTGTGGTGACATCATTATGTAACACTCATGCTTCTATTGGCTAGCGCTCCAACACAGTAATCTATCGATCATAAATCTATCTATCGATTAGATTTATGATTAGAAATTATAAAAGTAGGGTAGACATGTGGAGGTGATCCGACTGAACAAAATGTGATCCGTCTCTTAAATGTGTGTCAGACCTTATTTCCAGCTATTTTCCAAAATCCTATGGAGAAATTGCATTGCTTTTTTGTCGAAGGAACCCATGCGCAGCTTACTTCCGGGTTTTAGGACGCGTCACTGTGGCACTATAACAACAGAGCTGGCCCGCTCACCGATCAGAGCAGACTGGGCTCTGGTTTCAGACAGAGGGTGAAAAGAGGTGCTGCAGCACAGGCAGTATGAGAAAAATAAAGAGCTTTTTGAACATTGAAGCATGTAAACATGTCGCAGTAGAGGCACAAATGACAAATATGAACCTAAACATTTGAATAATATGTATAACGAGACATCTCTAAAAGTAATTACGCCATACAACAGTCATATTGCCATGCAAAACAGAAACCTCGGATACTTCCAATGACAAATGACCAATGTGCTGACGAAAGAAAACAGGATAGAAATAGAACATAGAGCGAGGCAATTGTGCACATCTAAACAATATATGCTTATGTCATTTGGTGTTGGTTGCATATGTGTTACTCTACTACCTCATAGTATTCTTGAGGCTTTCAATTCTCTTGAAGACAGTTTCATATATTTGTATTGCCTCTTATAATTGGTTTCCCCTGTTTGTTATCCGTTGGAAGTCTGTTTACGCAGCCTAACTATCATTGTGGGGAAAATACAAACTCAGGTATACTTCATGGGTGTTTTATTATTATTTTGCCTTCACAGGGACACAGAGATGGTGGAGAAAGAGAAGGAGCAGAGAAATCCAGAAAATCCGACTGGTGAAGGGAGGAGTTCCTCTAGGACGCGTTCTCGTGCCTCTTCAGTTCCCCTCACCCACAGGCCTGCTGCAGATGAAGAAAGCTGCAAACAGCGCCCTGTGGGTGTGGAAGAGGTAGGCAAATGCTCATGTGTATAATAATAAACAAATAATGGTTCTCCTGAGATTTTCAGTTGTCAGGGGATGGTCAGAGCCGGTGGCTAGTCATTCCCTTTCTCTATACTCGTCTCTGTCGAGGGAGAAAACATGTAAATACCAGTGGTGTAATGTAATTAGTACATTTACTCAAATATTATAATTAAGTAAAATGTTGAGGTACTTTACCTGAGTCTTTTTTTTGTATGCTACTTCATACTACTACTTCTCTACATTTCCGAAGCCAATATCATCATTTTTACTTCACTACATTTCTTAAACAGCTTTAGTTTCTTTACAGATTCAGATATTCAGCTAATACAAAGTAAAAAATCAAATATAAATAAACATTGACAAATATACAGTAATCATAAGTTAATATATCTAGCAGCAGTATATCAAGTCATTAATGCGAGCCTTGCATTTAACCCTCTTTGACACGCATGAATGCATCAGTAACCATAATCGACTAATCTATTCTGAAATGGGCCGTTAAGCATAACAAGAATTTCTATACTTGGGACTTTAGGTATATTTTGAAGCCAATTTAAATTGAATGCATGATTATGACTTGTAACAGAGTATTTTGAAATGTTTGTATTGTTACTTTAACTAGTTAAAAATCGTATTCTACCACTGGCACATCTTGCATTAAAAACCTCCATGTGGAGATTTCTCCTTCTGTTGTCACCTTGCAGAATATCTTTCTACTCTCGTTATACTTTGATATAATACAATGTCGAGAATCTCATCCAAGTCTAAAGCAGTCATCATGATATTTTCCTCATTTAGAACATGCCTGCTAAAAGTGACTGAACCAGGCCAAGACATAGTCCAGCACCAAAACACAGCTTGTGTTTTAACACTTTCAAAAATCAGAAAACAGACCTCTTCCTCTCGTAACTCATGACAATAGAGTGTATAGGATCAAGTCCCAAAAAAACAAACTTTCCCTTTTTGGGGAGTGTAACTGTTGGCAGAATCTTTTATCTCGTAAGTTCCTCTTTTTTACGTCTTTGTGTCTGTAGGTGTTCGATATCTTGCCGATATACGGTCATCTGCCACCTGGGGAACAGCAGCAGGTCGTTTTCTCTTTTTACGGCCACGAAAATGTCAGCAGAGAGGTGGTGGCACGCTGCCATGTGGAGGATGGGCCAACGTATGAAGTGAAACTCAGGGGAGAAGCTTCAGTGATCAGCTACAGCCTTGACTCTACACATATTGATTTTGGTCTGCAGGTATGTATCCTGCACTGTTCTCCATTATCTAGACTATTTATTCTCAGTTCTTTATCCTAACCAGCTCCAACAATCAAACAAATAACAATGGTAGTCAATGTCATTTTTTTGTTTAATCCCAGTTAAAAGTTCTTGAACATATTGGCCCAATGCCAAGCCAACCCAAACCAACTAGTGTGGAGAGGGAGTTATTAAACCCTCCATCAGATTTGACACAAAGTCAGAGTTTTTAAAAATCAGATTTCATTTTTACAAAACTATGCTCTTTTTCCAGCAGAAAGCATAGTTTCATAGGCGAGTTCATCCCAGTTATAGTATGAGGGTGTAAGATTCATCTTGGAATTGGACCATTATCTTCAGTGACTGTTGTGTTAAACATCTGTTTCCTAGTCAGTAGCATTAAACATTTGTCCTTGCTAATGTTCCAAATGAAGCTGCTGTGACACAAAAATGAATCTAGACTTTATCCAACCATAAAGCACTTTTATTCAGATGACCCTAACCCATACAAACTCTTGTTTCTAGAGTTCTCCAACACATTGTACAGTGTTAAGGGGCGGGACATCTTTAAGCTGTTGACCAATCATAACGGAACAGGCCAGCTAACCAATCAGAGCAGACTGGGATTTTGTTTCAGACAGAGGGTGGTACACAGAATACCAGTGGTAACTGTGACAGGCTTTATGTGGGAAATAAATTAAAGTATGTGACATGTTGCAGTAGAGGCACAAATCCAAATATGAACCTGAAAATGAGCAGTGCCCCTTTAACGCTAGGATAGTGGCCATGATGTGAAACTCTCCTTTGTTTTAAGCTACATTATCTTGTTTTAATTCCTCATCTTGTTGTACTGTTACCCTGCCTTTCTTATCCTAGTTCTTCTTTGGCCATTTGTTTGCTCATCCGCATGTGACACATTATACTTCATACAAATCTAATGACAAATCTTTGGCTAGTGATGCATTCCAACATTTTCAAAATGACAGGCCTGGGGGTACAATGACAGATGTGTTAGTAATTGCAGATGAAGATGTGTTTGCTGCATTTATAGTTTGTTTCATGATCATTAGCTTTTGCTTACTGTTAGTGTTTTCACTAGGATGTCTTTTCTTTCCCATTACTTTTTATGATCAGATAATCTAATGCTGAGGGTGTATAAGGATCATTAGGATGCACATTGTATAAAGACGTTTATTAAAGATTATGTAAAAGGTTTATTTCACTCACTAGACAAAAGAAGGTGAGAGGGATCACATTAAATCTGAATGTCACTGCTTAGTTTTTCCCACTTTGGTCTTTTGTGCTCCCAATCCCTCTTTAAGTATGCAAGCCGTTGGGACCGGTTATCATTGATATTCAAAACAAGGACATATTGATTTTTGATTTAGTTGAAATGAGCGATTCAGCAGAACATCTCACTGACCTTCCTGTCCCTTCAGCACTATTATTTCTCCTGCTTTCTTTTCTCTATTGTTGTCTCTCTCCATCCCTTTTGCTCTGTGTTCTTCTCTTGTGGTCAATTAGATTTGTTGATATAAATAAAATACTGAAACAACTCCCCTTCATGCACTCTTTGAAATCGCTTTTCTTGTCATCTCTCTGTGTCTTACTTTCTTTCACTTTTAACGCTTTAAATACAAATGTCATTGTTGTTGGATAATTATTATCATGAACCGCAGAGTTCAAACTGAGGCCATCATCTTGCATGCTTCTTTAGAAAGCTTTTATTTTTTTCCTGCACTGTCACCTCTATACACAGCCTTAAGTTTGTTTCATGATCATGGGGGCATGGTTTGACCAAATCCTTCTGTTTAGCATAAAGCTGATTCACATTCTTTTCAATGAGAATAAAAGTGCTGACAGTTTAAAAAGCAGTGTTTTCTTCTCCAGCTGTTTGATCACGAAGTGGAGGCGGAGGTGACCCTGAGGAACACTGGCAGGATGGGCTTCACATTTAACATCATATACCCCAAAAGGGAGGATGAGGAGGCAGGACAGAAGAAGGCCCTGGTAGAGGAGCAAACTGAGAACAGACAGGAAGTGACACCAGGGCAACCCATGGTCACTCCCACTGAGGTGAGTTCATCTTTGGGCTCTTTCAACCCTTAAGGGACAATCACATATAAGTATTTTGGAAAATGCATTGATTGCTATTTTCTACATTACAACCATATAACACTTTGATTACACCCATATAAAATATAGAATACACCCCTATTGCACCCGGATTACACCTGTGACACCATTTGTATACCTCTATTACATCCTTATTATACCCATGTTACACCATTATTACACCTGTATACTTCACCAATAATATACCCATGATACAAATACACTATAATTACACTGGTAATACACCCATTTTACACGTGGACACAGCCTGTCAAATGACTGTATCCCCCAGGATACAGAAACCATTTAAGGGTTAAGCAGCATAGAAATGTTTCATGTGCACAAGACGATGGAAATGTGAATAGTCTTTGGGGATTAGATCCCACCATGATATCATATATCTTCAGGGGGAGGTGAAGCCTTAAATAGAATAAGAACCCTCCCCCCCTGGGTATTAAGGAAGAGGTTGCTGAAGATCAGGAGTGGACTTCTAATGAGCTTAATCTTGGCACTGGGGGTGGAAAGAGGGCCGCATCTATATGTCTGAAATGAAAGGTGTGCAAAGAGAAGAGATCAGGTTGGAAGTCTGACGGTATAGGATGATTGGCTGTCAGAGATCGTTGCAAAAATGTAATTGTTCAAAGAAACCCTATAATGCTTTCGGGGTTCTCCCTTACCTGTATTATGTTAGATATGTCTTAGTGCATGTAAATGGTCTGCAAAGGCTACAATCCCAAAGTCCCCCCCCCTGTCTGAAACGCCTCAATTGGACTCCTTTGTTTACTTCCGTAAAATAATTATATCACTATTTAACCCTCACGCACACATTGTTTGTTGGCGGGACATTTCCGACACATCTCCAAGCAGTTAACCAATCACAGCAGATCTGGCCAGGTAACCAATCAGAGCAGACTGGGCTCTGGTTTCAGACAGAGGGTGAAAAGAGGTGCTGCAGCACAGGCAGTATGAGGAAAATAAAGAGCTTTTTGTACATTAAAGATGTCACAGTAGAGGCACAAAATACAAATATGAACTTGGGAATTACCATAATACTGTACAGTATGTCCTCTTTAATCAAAAGAGTGGACGCCTTTGATAAGCCTATTAGAGACAGCTGGGGAAATGAGATAGAGAATAAATAACGTAGGCAGTCTGCTTGATTAAACTTGCGCTGAGCTTCATTTCAACAATAAGAAATGCATTTATTACATAAAAGGCTTATTTTTCATTTGTACTATTCCCTGTGTGTGTTTTGGTGCTACAGGGTTACGTTGATGCCGGTGTAGAGCAATGTCTGCGTATGCTGTACCTCCCTGGTGTCCCCGAGGTGTTTGAGAAGCGGCTCCAGCTGCAGGTGGCCTTCCTCCCGCCGCAGGACATCAGGCTGACCGGAGAGGGCGTGTTCCCAAGGATCACACTGAATCTTCCAAGAAACCTGTGTATGCATGAACATGACTTCATACACACAGACATGATCATATCTCTTCATAACTAGCCAACAAGATGAATATTTAAACAACTGTTTTCAAAATATATAACTAAATTAAAAATGTTATTAACAAAAAATGTTACACCTGCGATAGAGTAGTGCAGGAAGGAATCCTAAAACATGGAAATGAGTTAGCATTTCCCAACTTCCAGTTCCAATGCCTAAACAATGTATTTGGTTAGATGCCTAAGGTCTGTTGTTAACACAAGCTGAAGAGAGATTTTCCCAAATAATTTAGATGAATAGACATCATCACGGCGAACATTAGCTGCCTTTAGCTTAACGGTGGTGATGCCATGGAGTAGTACGTATATGCTTTTTACTTATGGCTGTTGCTTTTGCACTTCAAACCTTTTAGAAGTGGTGTTAATATGTGGAGATTATCCTGCTGAGCAAAACATTCAAGTGTCATAAATGTGTGTTTGCCACAGATCTTATTTTTTCAATACTCCAAAATCACATTGAAAAACCCCATAGCTTTTGGTTGAGGTAGTACTTCCTGGTCGGCCTACAAAAATACCTCATCGCTGCACCACTCTGTAAGGCAAGGCAAGGCAAGGCAAGTTTATTTATATAGCACTTTTCAACACAAGGCAATTCAAAGTGCTTTACAAAAAATGAAAGACATTAAGAAAAAGGCATTTAAAATCAGTCATTAAAAAGAAAAGCTAATAAAATAAACATTAAAAGAAAAAATACATGGATAAAAGTTTCAGTGCAGTCTAAGATATGAATAGTTCAATTAAACATTAAAAGAAAAAGTACATGGATAAAAGTTACAGTGCAGTCTAAGATATGAATTGTTCAACTAAACATTAAAAGAAAAAGTACATGGATAAAAGTTACAGTGCAGTCTAAGATATGAATAGTTCAATTAAAAGCAGCGGCAAAAAGTAAAGTCTTCAGCCTGGATTTAAAAGTAGTCAGAGTTGCAGCGGACCTGCAGGTTTCTGGGAGTTTGTTCCAGAGATTTGGAACATAATAACTGAACGCTGCTTTACCATGTTTAGTTCTGACTCTGGGGACAGAAAGCTGACCAGTCCCTGAAGACCTGAGAGAATGGTTCATAATTTAGCAGGAGGTCAGAAATGTATTTTGGGCCTAAACCATTCAGTGCTTTATAAACCAGCAGCAGTATTTTGAAATCTATTCTTTGACACACAGGAAGCCAGTGTAAAGACTTCAGAACAGGAGTGATGTGATCCACTTTCTTAGTGTTAGTGAGGACTCGAGCAGCAGGGTTCTGAATCAGCTGCAGCTTCCTAATAGATTTTTTAGTGAGACCTGTGAAGACACCATTGCAGTAGTCCAGTCTACTGAAGATAAAAGCATGGACAAGTTTTTCCAAATCCTGCTGTGACATTAGTCTTTTAATCCTAGATATGTTCTTTAGGTGATAGTAGGCTGATTTAGTAACTGTTTTAATGTGACTGTTGAAACTCTGGTCAGAGTCCATGACTACACCTAGATTTCTGGCTTTATCTGTTGTTTTGAACATTGCAGGCTGAAGCTCAGCGCTAACTTTTATACGTTCTGACTTGGCTCCAAAAACCATTACCTCAGTTTTATCTTTGTTTAATTGGAGAAAGTTCTGACACATCCAGTCATTGATTTGTTCAATGCACTTACTCAGTGTTTGAATTGGAGCATAGTCTCCTGGTGAAATGGTTATGTAAATGTGTGTGTCATCTGCATAGCTATGGTAACTTATTTTGTTGTTTTTCATTATCTGAGCCAGTGGTAGCATGTAGATGTTAAAGAGAAGAGGCCCCAAGATGGAGCCTTGAGGAACCCCACATGTCATATTTGTCAACTCAGATGTGTATTTACCTATAGAAACAAAGTTGTTTCTGTCCTTTAAGTAGGATTCAAACCAATTCAGAACTGTTTCCGAAAGTCCCACCCAGTTTTCCAGTCGGTCTAGTAATATGCTGTGGTCAACAGTGTCAAACGCAGCACTGAGATCTAATAATACTAACACTGAAGTTCTGCCACTGTCTGTGTTTAAGTGGATGTCATTAAAGACCTTTACAAGAGCAGTCTCAGTGCTGTGGTTTGGACGAAAGCCTGACTGGAACACATCGAAACAGTTATTTAAATGCAAGAAATTACTCAACTGTTGAAAAACAACTTTTTCAATGATTTTACCTAGAAATGGGAGGTTTGATATGGGCCTGTAATTGTTCATTACTGAAGCATCTAGATTATTCTTTTTTAAGAGCGGTTTAATGACTGCAGTTTTCAGGGCCTGTGGAAAAATACCTGAGTGAAGAGATTTGTTTACTATATGAAGTAGATCTGAGGCCATGCAAGGAAAAACATCTTTGAAAAATCCTGTTGGAATAATATCAAGGCAGCAGGAGGAGGATTTCAGAAGTTGTATAATGTCCTCTAGGTTTTTATCATTAATCTGATGGAATTGTGTCATGGTGTCTGAATTGATATTAGGTGGACATAGGGACAACACATTTGCTGTTCCTGATGCAGAGGCACTGACTGCTTGTCTGATTTTCTGAATTTCGTCAGTGAAAAAGGAGGCAAAATCATTGCACGCCCTGGTGGATAGAAATTCAGAGGCTACTGACACTGGGGGGTTAGTTAGTCTGTCGACGGTAGCAAACAAGGCACGTGCGTTGTTTTTGTTTTTGGTAATGATGTCAGAGAAGAACGATTGTCGTGCATTTTTCAATTCCAAATTATAAAGGCCTAGTCTCTCTTTATAGATTTCAAAGTGTAGACTTACAAAGTGTAGACTTACTGATGTATTGTGAAAATTAACTGTATATTATAATTGTCTAAATGAAATGATGGTGTCAGGTGAAGCCACTGTGGCTCCTACAGTATTCCTGAATAGCATGTCTCCATACCAACAAATATTGAGACATATAACTGGTGTAATTGTTGTGTTGCTGTAATTCCCTTGCAGCAGAGGAGTGCTACCATGAAGTGTTGCAGCAGGCCGGAGCAGCGGTGGAGGTCGACAGAGTCAAAGAGGAGCTTTTGACCGCTGGTGGAGGAGCACCGACCGAGGCCAACTGCACCCCCACAGTCAGTGACTAAGATAAACATTTTATGCAATGAAACGTCATGTAGGTTACTAGTAAGCACACTTCATGTAGTGTGTAATGTTTCAATGTCTTGTTGTAGTACAAGAGAAATGAGGGATTCTAGAGAGAGTAAAAGCAATCTAATTTCTCCTTAATTTACCAAAATGTGTAATTAGATAATGCATCATTAGCATATTTAAACATAATATTTCAGATAATAATACAAGAGAAATCCTCTCCTGGAGTAAAATAAAGTTAATATGTATTCACCCTATTCAGCCGTAGTGTACTGTCTTGCAAAATGTATGGAATTTGAATAACACATTTTTAAAAAAGACAGTTTTCTCATACCAGAAATACCACTTTAGTAGCAATTACATCATCCAATTTCCGTTTTTGTATACATCGAAATTCCAAAGGCCTGTTCATGATGTATCCTTTCTTTCGTGAATTCATTGGCAAAATTCTTCTAATCACTGTATTTTCTCAATGATGTAGGGACTGTTAATTATGGAGTGATTTAAGGCCATATTCAATTATATATTTTTTATTGAGTCAGGCACAATGAGTTTACATTTATACAGTCAATATTTTTATTTATTTTTCCCCTTTCCCCCCCCTCCCGGTCCTAGCTAGTAAATTAAATAACTAACTAAGTAATGTAGAAGATAATATTAAAAGAAAATGTATAGATAAGGGAATAAAGAATAGTAACAGTAATACTTGTACCCATATACTCACATATGTATACCCACATATACACATACACATACGTGTGTGTACATACCTACACACATGTACACATGCACATACATACACGTACCTACATACATACATGTATACAAAGACAGAACAAATAAATAAAAAATAAATAAAAATTAATATAACAAAAACAAACAGATAAAAAGAGACACAAGGAAGAAACAAAACAAAAAACAACAAAAAAAAACATACACATACATTCGTAGTTCCCCCCCTTTCTTCTTAATTTAGTGTCTTAAGTTCAGCTATGTAGGCTATCATAGAGCCCCAGACAGATTCAAATAGTTTTGAGGAGCCCCTCAGGTTATATTTAATGTTCTCCAAGTTCAGGTACAACATTAAATCTTTAAGCCATAGAGATGCTTTAGGTGGTATAGAAGATTTCCATTCTAGGAGTATTCTTCTACGTGCTAAGATAGATGCAAAGGCTATACTGTCTTTAGTTTTCCTCTTCAATATTCGGTGGCCAGGTAGTACTCCAAAAATGGCAGTCTCTGCACATGGTGTCAATACCACGTCCAAGGCCTCAGTAAGGTGTTTGAAAATGCTTGTCCAGTTTCCTTGTAGGCGAGGACAAGACCAAAACATATGAATCATGTTTGCTGGTGACATGTGGCATCTGTTACAGGTGTCAATAACATTTGGGTATATTTTGGAGAGTTTAGAGTTGGTGTAATAGATATGGTGGACAACTTTTAGTTGTATAAGATTGAGCCTGGCACAGGACGTACTATTGTTCACTCTCGCTAATGTGCCATCCCAGACCTCATCATCTATAGCTTGGACTAGTTCCTCTTCCCAATCTTGTTTGATTTTACCAAGCGATGTTTCTGTGAGACGGGAGACGGAATTGTAATTTTTTTAAATCAAACCTTTTTCGATTGTTAGAGTGTCCAGAATTGAGTCAAATATTGAATCCGGAGGGATATTGGGGAAGGAAGGGTTGTTTAGTTTAACCCAGTTTCGGACCTGGAAGTAGCGAAATAGATGAGTGCCTGGAAGGCAACATTTGTCAGAGAGTTGGCTAAAGCTACCGAAAACATTGTTAATGTAAAGGTCCCTTACTCTGATAAGACCTAATCTCTGCCACATAGAGAAGGCCCCATCAGTGTAAGGGGGGAGAAAGAGATGGTTGTTGCGAATGGGACTATGTATAGAGGATCCACAGAGTCCATGATCCTTTCTGAATTGGGACCAAATTCTTAGGGTGGAAACAACAATCGGGTTATTCGAATATTGAGTTGGCCGGCTGGGTAATGTAGATGTGAGCAAAGCCAAGAGTGAGGTATTAGGACAGGATTTGGCTTCAAGCTCACACCAACTCAATGTTGGTTCCTTAGTCCATAGAATTACTTTGTGGATATTGGCTGCCCAATAGTAGTGTCTTATATTTGGAAGCGCTAATCCTCCTGTAGATCTATGCCTTTGTAAAAGCTCTTTCCTAATTCTAGGAGTGATTTAAGGCCATATTCAGACCCCATTGTTCTCATTTCTGTTTTGGAAATGTATGCAAAGAAGCACAAACTTAAAGGTAATGCCTCATTGTGATTTAAGCATAACGTGTAGGCTAACTTGTATTTAAAAAGAATACCTGTCGACACACAATACATTATTATTTTGGGAGGTTTCATGGTGATCTATTACTTGAATCTTTTTCAATAATGACCTGTAGTGTTTTCCCTTAAAAGGCTATTCATGCCATTGTAGTAAACATACATGCTCCAAATGTATCCATGTGGGCATGGCAGTGCCACTACATCACTGCTGTGATTAATATTCTGAAAAGCCTTACCTGCTTCTTATCTGTGTATTGATTTCCTGGGGAGTAAACAAGAACCGTTGCATAACAATAGAGATAGCTGTTTTGAAGCTTATCCAATCAGTGTCTACTCATGGATTGAAATTCACCGAATAAGTTAACGCTCTTATCTGTATATTCAACATCAAATAAAGTGTATAACAAAAAACACTTTACTTAGTGCAATTGATCAACTGGGGGTTACCCCTAAGTTAAAATGTATGACGTTTTACAATACATATCTGTACATTATAGCCTTCATCTCCCCAAAAATATCATCATATTCCAAACAAGAAATAACCATTTCTAAGTTTCATTAATTCCTATTTATATTCTATATGTTTTTAATGAGGGGTTTGTTCATACAGTATACAATTCAGGCCCTCATTTATTTAACATTTTATTCTTTTTTGTATAGATTTTGACTGATTCATGGAGTGATAAAGAGAGATATCCAAAATAACCTTTGTAAATCCCTTATAAGATAATGCTCCATTTGTACTTAATCAATATGGGACGATTCATTGGGATCTATTCATTAAAATAAGTTGCCCTTATCACATGTAGTGTGTTTCCTAAAGATGTCCTGAATTCCATTGTAATCAATGTTCATGCTCAAAATATATATTCATTCATTGTGGAAAGGAAATGGAATGGAAGCGCTACTACATCAGTGCTGAGATGAGGAAACTGGAAGGGGTTAATTGCTTACAAATGTCCCAGTTATAGGACTCATTACTGCACCACTCTATTTAGCTTGGAATCACGACAAGGGATATTCAAATTGTCAATTTATTCCAGTAGAAATTGAATAGCATCCAGATTTGATTCTGTTCTCTATGTGTGAGATTTAAAATGGGCTCTGTCTCAGGAAAATAGATTTGGAGGAACCTTGAGTTATTGTTCTCTCTGATGAGACTGGGCTGTTTAATGCTTATATAAGCCTTCAATACTTGTTTGTAACTTTTGAGTGTTTATGTACCCCTGCTTCTCTCTCCCCCCCTCGCTTTTCTCTCCTTTGTCCGCTGCCTCCAGTATGAAGAGCTGCTTCACATGGAGATTGAGAGAGCGCTGGTCAAACAGAATGCTCTCGCTGTGACCGGAAGCCTGCAGGAGCGCAGAGACTCACAAGGCTCCTCCAGAAAGTGGCACAAACTTAGTCAGTAAGTTCACACACACACACACACACACACACACACACACACACACACACACACACACACACACACACACACACACACACACACACACACACACACACCGAACAGATGGTCGACTCACTGGATTGAACCAAGAACTGTGTTGTAGAATTTGATAGAGTTTGGGTTAATGAGCAATATCCCACTGGGCATGTTTTGTTTTTTATCTGATGCTTGTGCAACTTGATGAATGTCACAGAGTGCATGGGCAGTTATTATTCAAAAAATTACTCAGATCCTTTACCTAAGTAAAAGTAGTGATACCACAGTGTATAAATTACTCTGTAACAAGTACAATTCCTGTATTCATTACTTAAGTAAAGTAAAAATAAAGATTGTATCGTGTTTTTTACATCTTCACTTCTTCCTTTTTCCATTGCCCAGGTTTCCTCTTCCAGAGTATGTTTTGGATTTTGGTTATGTCATTCTCGGCCAAGTCCTCAGTCACACTGTGAATGTGACCAATACTGGAGCAGTGGCTGTGTCCTTCCAACTCAATGAAAAACCTCTAGCTGGCTCAGGTACTGTAACACAACTCTTTACTCACTATAACATGCTGTGGCACTTTGAGTGCTTCAGTCTTGTGTCTTTTTTATGACATAACTCAGGATTCAAAAGAAAAATGGAGCAAGCAAACTGTGAGAAGAAGTGTAAGTGTAAAAACAGTTGGAGAGTGTGCGAGTATTGAGATAAATAGGCTACCAGTACAAAAACAACAGAAAACAAGAAAGTGAAGGAGATGGGGGGGGGGGGGGGGGGGGGTAGAAGACAGAATAAAGTGAGTAAAGCCATAAAATCACAGAAAGACAAGGAAGGGAAGAAAGAGGACACATTTGAGCACAGTAGAACAAAGTAAAATAATAAAAGGATTAAGAAGTCCTGTGTGGGTAAATGTTATGCTGCTGTAACACAAAAAATTAAAAATCAATAAAGTACCATCTTATCTTATTTTATGAGATGAGCGGATTATCTCCTGTCTTGAAGTGATAGTAGAATAAAATGTAATGAATAATTGATGAAACTAAATAAAATGTCTCAAAGGGCATTGGAGTGGTGAGTTAGCATTTTAACACTTCTGGTTCCCTTATCTTAAAGTCAACTGTTTTATGAAATTGTTTTTGGTACGATGCCTGAAACTAGGTCTGAGGTCAACTCAAGAGATTTTAATCAAATGCTTCAGTAAATACCCCAGTCCTGAATGTTCCTCAGAAAAACGGAGGTTGCTCAGAGACTAAATGAGACTTCTGAAATCTGAAATGTTGTTTGTTTTTAGCATCACATTTGCTATTTACCCCCTGGCAAATTCATTTCACCTCAAAGCTTATTTCTTGGCAATCTTCAAAAGTTCATTGGAAAATTGCCTTCACTTTTTGTGGAAAGAACCCTTTGTTTATGCTTTCGGGGCGGCCTACAAAAAGAAGTCATCACTGCACAACTCTATATTGTGCCTGTTTTCTGTTTTAAATCATTGTGTTTTCAATTGGCTTTTTTGAATTTCTCTAAAGTAATTCCTCAAATGTTGCTTCTTCAAAGGATTCAGCACAGAACTGAAAAGAGTGAAAAACCTGCCCTGCGGAGAGACACAGACTTTAGCAGTCAAATTTGACCCCCAAGGATCCAACCTGAAGACGGGACACACACAAGTTGTCATGTCAATACAGGTACACCTGGGCATAAAAAGACGTGCACAAATCATGTCATTATTGCTGTGCCATTTCTGAAAAGTGGTTTATCAGCAACACCATAATCTTTCTTCACAGATGACTTTGTTTGGTTTTACAGGTCACAAGAGGCCCAGTGGTGCAGGTGCGTCTGTCTGCAATGGTCACTGTGCCGGCTATCACTGTTTCCACGGATACACTGCAGTTTGACACGATGCAGTGTAACATGTGTCAGGTAATACAGACCACTTTTACTGCCCATTTGATAGTACTTTGTGATATAAACATGGAGGATAGCAGCATACGCATCGATTAGCACTATTGTGTTGTTTGCTGTAACAGCCAATCCATAAACCAATGAACATAACAAACGTAACATCAGCAATACATTCCAAATGTGTTGAATGGCAGCGATCTGCTGACTGCTGAGAAGTTACACTAACCACTACACAGGCAATATGATTCAAAACATGAAATATCACAGTATACATAAATAGTAAAGGTAGATTAATTGTGCATGATAAGCCAACGCCTTATTAGCATTCAGTTAGCATAACATTAGCTATCTACCTTCTGTTTGGATAATTGTATAGTTGTCTTTGGGTCTGTAGATCTTAAGGTTCTATACTAACCCATTTGTAAACTTGAGGTGGGCCTCTAAATATTAAACATTTTTAAATTGCAGACAGGTGTAGGCACTAACGCAGGACAGATGTCATCAATTAACTTCAATTTTGTAAAAGAATGCTCCTCTGCCTCAGTGAAGAGCTTTTGGTTGTAAGGGGATTTACCTTTGGTGCTTACTTCATTCATTGTTTATACAAATCAGCTGACAGGTGCAGGTTAAAGCTGATAACTATGTATGACTTCTGCAGTTGCAATAGACGCCAACCTCCAAAGATGGAATGTGTCCCGGTTCCAATTCCCCTATATAGGATGCACAGGTGCTGAACACTGCTGAGTGTTTGCATGGTACACAAATAACTGGCATAAGGAGAGACGTTTCTCTACTTGCCCCACAGTGGAGCCATCTTGTGGTCTGATCAGGTCAAGGTTATCATATTTGAGCAATTCTGTTATAAAGCTCAAGCATTGGAGTGCTTCAAATGGGTGGCGATTACACATCGTTTAAAAACGATACTAGACCCTATATTACAAAAATATCCTAATTGAAAAACCTTTATCCCATGAACATAACATAATAAAATCATGCATTATGTTACATCAGGCTTTCAATCTATTTATCTAATAATAATAATATTAACTTAATGTATACAGTATTCTTAAACAAGTGGATTTTCAGAGTTTGCAGCCCTGATCTCCTCAGGCAGGTCGTTCCAAAGTCCAGGAGCCCTGACAGAAAAGTCTCTGTGTCCTGCCCGGGACTTAAGGCAATAAAGGTTTAAGAAATAGCTCGGAGCAAGGCCTCTCTGGGCGTTGTAAGTAACAATACCATTTTAAATTGATACTAAAAGAAACAGGTAGCCATTGCAAGGAGGCCAGGCTCGGTGTAATACGGTCGTATCTCCTGGTTTGAGTTACAATCCTAGCAACAATCCTTTAGAAGGGCTGGAGGCGAGAGAGACATGTTTTACTGATGCCAGGGAGGAGGGAATCACACCTGTCTAATCTACTGGTAATGCATGCTGGGATACATGTTTTTTCCTGCACAAAAACGAAATATGCATAAAAATCAATGCTTATCGCTGACATATCCCAGACTGTGAAAAAAAAGCATTTTGTTTACAGAAAGTAATTAATTGTTGTGTTTTTCCCCCCTCATTTTAATGATATAAACAAACTGGAATGTATATGGTTTTATATTCTGACATTGTATTAAAAATGAATACGTTTTTTGAAACCTTATATTTTATGGTGTTTTTTTTACACAGATATTTGCGTTCTCTAATGACTTCAGAGCAATTTTCTTTCAAGAGACATTAAAAAAAGACTAAAAACTAAGATACTTTGTTTTTGCTCAAGCAACATGAAGGCCATGTATTACCTGCATATCAGTTCTGTCTGAAAACATACGCTGTGCTGAGTTTCTTGTTATTGTCCTCCTCATCAGATGAAGACAATACAGCTGTCTAATCATGAGTCCATGCCCTGCTGCTGGACCATAGCTGAGGAGGGGATGCCTCTCAAAAAGGTACGACATTTGTCAATTTATGGAAAATTCAATAAACCTTTACAACTGGTTTTGTATTTTCATTTTCAGGTAACTACTACTACTACTACTACTACTACTACTACTACTACTACTACTATTACTATTACTATTACTACTACTACTACTACTACTACTACTACTACTACTACTACTACTACTACTACTACTACTACTACTACTACTACTACTACTACTACTACTACTACTACTACTACTACTACTACTACTACTACTACTACTACTACAACACATGGCATCTAGGGCTGCACAATTCATCAACATTTCAATTTGAAATGTGCAATATCCAGCCTGCAGGGGGCCAAATATGTGTTAAAATACATATTTACAAATTGTAGTATTGTGAAGCCATATCTTTTTTTGATATCCTACAAATCTAATTCTACAGGCTTAACTAAATATATTTGTTTGAGTAGGGATCCTCTTAAATAAAATCACACCATGATCATTTAAACATTCTTCTTAAAGATGATTCCACTAATGACGCCAAAATAATAAATTCTTCCAATGTTGTAAATCATATCACAATTGCAACATCATTCCAATTATTTCCTTATTTTTTCCAATTCCTTATGGCATCTAACATCTTTATATTTAGGAAAATTAAACTACCATCTTACTGAGATAGTACTGAGAAATAGTTGCAATAGTGTGAAACGTGCCTCACCCTATCAGTTTCTTTATTACATTCCATTCCATTAATGCACACAATGCAAACAATATCTTGTTCATTTGAGTTAAGTGAAGTCCTAGCCAACCCTCCAAGTTCTGTACAATGTACACAAAGCTACCTCTTATTTATTAACGGCTTACCACTAATAGTTGTATTTCTTACAATCTATCTTCTTTGACTGTGTTTATGTATGCACCCTATACACCAAGGACAATTCCTTCTATGGGTTAACCTGCTTAGCAATACACCTGTTTCTGATTCTGATTCTTGCTCAGCGTAAAAAGGTCTCTCAGGAGCATCAACCTCCTCAAGAGGTGTTTAAGGCGATCCCCAGTTCTGGCCTGCTGTCCCCTGGTGAACGAGTCAACGTCCAGATAAAGTTCAGCCCTGCTGATGGGGTAAGGAGCTTAAAGGATTCAGCCACGATACATATCAGAGTATCATGACATTACATGATTGATGACCTACTGTCCGTGTCTTTGCAGCTTGCCTACAACAGGCAGCTAACGGTCCATGTGGCTGAGAGCTCCAAGCAGGTGTTCATCAGAGTTCAGGGGCAAGGTGAGGAGCCACGGCTGGAGTTCTCCCAGTCGGAGCTGGAGCTGGGGCCCTGCCTGTCTCTCAACACTGAGGTTGAAGCAGAGGTTACAGTGAGAAACCCCTGCTCCTTCCCCATCGAGTTCTACTCCCTGGAGTTCGACACGCAGTACCTCGAGGAAGAAAAGGTAGCTCTCTGTAAGACTGGAATGGATAAGAAAAAGAGAAAAGTGACCATAACCAATTCTTACTTTTAAACCATTTCGTGAAGAACATTTTGATCAGAAATCAGAAAACAAACAATACAAGCAAAGACAAGTGTTTACACATTGTATACCACCATCCATTCGGCCCAACTCTCCTCAGGTCTGCATATTTAACTGATTCTGCCTTTTGTCAAAACATGTCTGAACTCCAAAAACAGCGCCACCTTAAGTTAAAGATAGACGTGAAAGCTGTTGCTTTCTGCCTGGTGTGACCTACTGTAAGACCTTCATAATGGATCACTAATATGACACTTAAATCTATTATATTGGTTATATGTTAATAGAGTGGCTCAGGAATGGGTAATACAACTTGGAAATTAGTTAGCATTTTACCATTTCCGTTTCCTTTATCATGAAGTCAATGTTTTTTTGAAAGTGTATTTGTTTAGATACCTGAAATAAAGTTTATTAAATACCGTAAGGACACTACTAAATATCATCAATCTGAACATTAGCGTCTTTAGCTTAGCGGTCTTGACTTGAAGTCATGCGACCTTGATTTTGTTACTTTATAGCCAACGTTAACTTATTACTAGGGCTGTCAGTCGATTAAAATATTTAATCGCGATTAATCGCATGATTGTCCATAGTTAATCGCGATTAATCGCAAATTAATCGCAAATTTTTTATCTGTTTTAAATGTACCTTAGAGGAATATTTTTCAAGTTTTTAGTACTCTTATCAACATATGAGTGGACAAATATGCTTTATGCTAATGTTTATTATCATTTGAACAATGACAAATATGCTCATGAATATTAAACACAACAACCTCTGAACATTACAAATATTCGCCTCAATTCAACCTGGAACCTCTCTCATTCAATAATACAATGTGTGTGTGTGTGTGTGTGTGTGTGTGTGTGTGTGTGTGTGTGTGTGTGTGTGTGTGTGTGTGTGTGTGTGTGTGTGTGTGTGTGTGTGTGTGTGTGTGTGTGTGTGTGTGTGTGTGTGTGTGTGTGTGTGTGTGTGTGTGTGTGTGTGTGATGGATCGTTGGAGCTATGTGCAACTCAAGGCATATGCTCGAACGGGAGCTGCCTGGACGCTGCAATCATGTTGCACTATCCTTGCTGAGTGTGCTGACTTCTCGTACAATGTCCCACTGTCTGGCTTCCTGCATAAAGTCAAGTGCTCGGCGCAGTTGTCGGCGAAATGTCGCTCCTCTGTTTTCATTTAAACAGCTCCTTATATCTGTTAGCGCAGCTAGCTAGCACCAGATGCTAACAACAACAATGCACGTAAGGTCTCTCGCTCGCTCGGGCCACACATACACACACCCTCCCGGTCCTCCCAACAGCCAGTCGGTGCCTGCCGGTGAGCGTGGAAGTGTGGTCTGCCACAAGCGGGCGGCAGGAGCGGGGCTGTCAGCATCAGCTTGTAGATGGTATTTTAAACTCGATGCGCTCTGAAACTACGGGGCGGCCGAGGAAAAAAAATACACATGCGTTAATCGCGTTAAAATAATTAGTGGCGTTAATTTTTTTTTGCGTTAACGCGTTATTAACGTGAAAGTTCATCTTAGCTTGTATCAGACAAATGTAGCACGTCCCCCCTTGAGATGCCCTCTCTTTTCCTTGTGTCCTCACCTGGCCCCTCATAACATTCAATTTGTCTGTTCCTTTGTGTCTTTTCCTGTCCAAATTCCCCTCCCTCTCCCCTCCTCCCTAATTCCATGTAGATCCTGCATCTGATGCAGGGTTATGATGAGAACAACATGTTACTGCTGCCTCCCCGAGCCCCTGGAGAAAGTCTGACCTCAGAACTGCTCGACTACTACAAGGAGTACTGCTCCCAGCTGAAAGATGACGGTAGCTTCAGGCACCCACGTTTATTAAGCACTGACATTGTTGTCTATCTGTCACCAAAGTACTCAGGAACATAAGGATAAAACACAACACAGAAACAAATGATTGGGGTAATACTGGACACTTCACCCTTATGTAGGATACCTAGTTACGTAGGATTTAGCACTTTTCAGCAGGAAACCTACTGATTCAAAGACTGTTTACATACCTGTTTTAATCTAAACTACCTGTGTGTTGCAGAGCCTAATGAAGATGAAAAAGAAGCTGAGATGGATGACACACACGAGAATACAAATACATTGAGACAAAACGATGCCCAAACTGTAACTGTGAAACCAGCTGAGTTACGTGAGTACAACCTGTTTATAAGCAGAACTTGAAAGTATATGACCTTCTCTTCGTAATTCACCGTTATTTCAGTTGTTTCAGAGATGACCAAAGAGGGATGCAGTGGGAGATTGGGGCAGTTGGAGATGACCCCCCGTCTCCAGAGCAATCGCCCGCCACATGTGTGTCGATCTGTCACCTGAGGGTCTGGCTGCACGCAACCGCAGAGGCATTGCTATTGTTGTGTATGGAGCCCCACTGATAGGTAAAGCGATTCAGCCATTATTTAACAGTAGATACCAGTGGCAGAGTGGCCGTGCCAATTTTAGGGATTTTAACACATTTTAGTTCAGTTTAAAGTCACTGTGCAAACAACATAAAATACTATAATTTGTATTTGTTTGTTTGGTCAGTTACTTAGTTAAAATATTATTAAATTACATTGTAAAAAACTGAAAATGATGTTAACTTTGGCTCAAGTTAAAGCACAGTCTTTGCTGAAACACTATTGCAAATGGTGAAATGTTCATAGACATTCAGAGGGGGGCCACAGACGATCCAAGCTTCAAGTGTTACAGGGGCACTGGCCCCTGTTTGCCCCACTCTAGAACCGCCAATGGTAGGCACTGTAATGCAAATCAGGTAAAATGACACCTAATAAGCAGAATCTGCATACTTTAGTTACATATTTTAAGGGGCGTGCTCATTATTCCTATTGTTCAATGTCAATGCGCAGAAGGTGCGTTTAAATGCGAGAGAGACGCCGTCGCTCCCAAGCGGCTATTTTTCTGGCAGCGACAGCGGAACCCAAAGTTAAAACTATTCCAGCTTTTGGAACACAGCAGCTAGTACCGCTTGTCATGTGACAAGGAACTACCTTAGCTCCCGTTAATATCAGTCTACCGCAAATATGGAGAAGTTGTTTAATTTAGTGGGGGTCTATCGTTACCCTCACTTTACCAAATGGCACAATACACGACAGAGGGAAAGGTGGGGTAGGTAAGTTTCAGAAACCGGCTCGAGTGCACTAAAATTTGAAAGTACACAGCCGAAAAGAATCCGCCCCTTCCTTCAGACTTCCTTACAGAGCACCTCCTCCAACACACATGAACGCGCACATGACGTCAGCAGACTGGTGAAAGTGGCCGCCTGTTGCTGGCGAGTCATTGAAGTACTGCTGCAATGCACGCCCAATGACGGCACGCCCAATGAGGGCACGAGATACATTTGTGCGTGCACGAGATGGAAGGCTGACAGGCAGGGCGGCAATGGTTGTACTTTTTACAGTACTACGGCTTCCACAGATGACATTTTTTTTATGGATTTTTTGTCAAAGCACTTAAGATATTCATTGCTATCGGGATGTTAAGAGCATTCCATGGAATATAACAAAAAGTGTATCTCGAGCCGGTTTCTGAAACTTACCTACCCCACCTTTAAGTGTTACAGCTTTGCAGGTAGGTTGTGTCATCTTAGAAAAGCAAATCATTATTCACCATACTCAATAAACACAAATATTTGCCATATACACCGTGCTGTCTATGCTCTGTACATCTTATATTTAAAGTGATGTGTGTGTGTCCCGTTTCCCTTCTTCAGGTCGGGGCAGCACAGTGGCTGCTCTGGCCCGTCACTACGGAGGGGCGAGCCTGAGTGTTGATGCCGTGGTGACAGCGATGCTCCTGAACGGCACCTCTCCTGTTAGCCTGACCGCAAGACGACTCCACGATCAAGCTGTTGAAGAGTATGCTGAGAAGAAGGCAGAGGAGGCTGGTAAGAAGAGTAGATTGTGCAGGCAGTGAAAAACCAATGCCTTTTTTATCATTATGTATTTGTTTTATGAAATTGCAGTAGTCTCGAGTTAGTTCAGGCAGGTATTTCAAGATTACAATGTAAAACACTTGTAGCTGCTGTTTGTTTTTATTTAGTTATATATCTATTTCTTTGTTAGTTTTTTTGTTTATATGAACTCTGTTCATTGACAGCAATGATAAGCGCTTTGGAGAAAATAACAGAAACAGTCAGCTTTGTCATACTTCACATTAAAAACATAAAAACATCACCCTTTACGTCTAAATACAAATAAATTAATAACAAATGTAAACAAGAAAATGGGATCTAAGTACACGATTTACGGGAATGCATTTTTGTTTGCATAGTCAAAAAAAGGCCCCCACATCTTTATAAACTGCTTGGAAGAGCAAAATGCAGCTCACAATGTTGAGCTGCATTTTATGTACAAGATCTACAAATGTAGTTATTAATTATTCCTATTATAGATAAGTGGCTTGTGATGGCAGCCAATGTTTCCAGACTGCCAATGTCCTTAAACAAAGCATTGAATCACAAAGCGCTTCACATGATGGCTCAAGATCAACAGTAAAAGACGTGCATGCACTTATCAGCATTGTGCTTGTAATCATTACAAATCCTTTATAGTCACACAGGACACTTCTGCAGAAGAGCATAGCCTTCTGTCTAGATTGCCAAATAACAGTGAAACTAAATATTTACATCTGCCTTTGCTTCTGTCTGCAGCACATCTTCTAGCCTCTGTCCCAGATCCACAGTCAGCTCCAGCTTCACTTGATACTGTGGAAAACAGCGAGGACAGCTGCAGTCAAAATGACTCCAACGCTCCTCAGGAGACTGAAAACACCCACTTTGCCCTTTGTCTGGTACATTTTCTTAAATGCTTTGTTCTAGTGTTACTTATGTTACCTTTAACTGATGTAGTCCTGGTTTGGTCATTTTAAAAATAAGTGTGAAAATGTTTTCCTCTGTAAATTGAGGGAATTAAACTAAGCTATTTTAAGTTCAGGTACAAAAGTATTATACTGTATACCATTCTAAATACTTTGTTTAAATTTAATTCAATGAAATATTTGGTGTGGTTTTGCTTCAGGGGGGAGATGTGACCACACTCTGCAATCTCCTGCCTGAACAGCTACTGGTTGATATCCTTGCAGAAAGATTTCAGGTAAGTTGACTGTTTTTAAAACATGATACATAAACACATACAAAATAGCTCACAGCTATTTCTGAACATATATGTATTGTGTGTTATACCTAAAACAGGCAGGGTTTTATTTGTATTTGCCTTGTGTAATCTCATGTTTGTTCTCTTTTTCTTCTCATTGTCGTTGCTGCTGGGCCTGCTGTGGTGATAACAGCTGAGCGACTGTCACCGTGGCATCGTAATGGACGGTCTGGAGTCTGTATACACTCAGTCAGCAGCCAACACGCTGCAGGCTGTTCTGAAGGCTCTCAATAACCGCAAACACATCTACGCAGTCAACCTGACAGACTCCTACACTGCCCTGCAGGCACGGGAGAGAGCACAGAGAGAAACTGAGGGTAAGAAAAGTCCCAAATTATTTTGCAGAGAACAGAGTTATTGTGTAATTATGTTCTATTTAGAACGGTTTGTGGCAATATAGAATATATGTGGAAGTGTCTGTGTGTGTCCTTCAGAGGCTCTGCAGAAAGAGACATCTGACAGGAAGGAGCAGTGGCTGCAGGAGCTGGATGAGGAGGAGTATGATGCTCTGCCAGAGGAAGACAAGGAGCAAATTGTCCGGCACCACACAGAGAACCACAGACAGCAGAAAGTCAGGTACTGGAAGACAGCCCAACACATAGACTGGTGCAGTCATGACGTATTTAAGTAATCAGAGCTGGAAAATGTCATGGCACGGGCCCCCTCGACAAAAAGCAATATGATATTTTCATGAAGTTTTGAAATATTGCAGGAAACAAGATCTCAAGACTCATTCCTTCATCTTAAGAATCTCCTCCAGTTTCCATGCCCCCTCTAGAGTCTAGCTCACAATTATTTAACTGTTAAGGACCCGTTTTAGACGCAGCTTTTACTAAATAGTCATAATCATACCATAAACGTGTCTTTTTGTGCCTGTGTGTAAGGGAGCTGGATCATATACTGAAGGAGGAGGAAGAACAGAGGCAACAGGAGGAGATGAAAAGGTTGAGAGACGAAGAGTTAAAGAAGAAGAGCAAAAAGGGTGGAAAGAAGGATGTTAAAGAAACGTCGAGGAAGAAGAGCCTGCTGGAAGGAAAGCAGGTCTGTATACATATTCAATATAATCACTCCTCACAGAATATCAAATACCAGTCGCTGATTGCTTGAATTATTTGTTTTATTTCCTCTCCAGTCAACAGATGGGTTGAATGGGAACACAATGTCTCCCAGTAACAACTCAAAAGAATCCCTGGTTGATGCAAGAGATCATCTAAATGAAGGTGAAAGCCACTGCACAGAATCCCTTTTTGTTTAATGCTAGATACTTTCATTGTTCAATATCTGCAATCTGGTATCGCTGAAATATGGTCCTTTTCTCTACTACAGTGTATCAAAGCAAAGAGGCGAATGATTTACAAAAGCAGACAGAAGAAACCAAAGCATTAAATACAGAGTCTCCCCAACCCGCAGACAAGATGGACAGAGAAAAGGTAGGTTTCCTTCTCAGTAAATTCAACCCACACTGTATCCTATTCTAGCTAGGGATGGGTACCGAGCCCCGGTATTAAAGGGGCCCGTGGCGGAATTATTAAAGACTGTGGTACCGTTAAGCTCCGACATTATCGGTCTTTTTATCGGTACTGGAGACATTTAAAAAAGATATGTCATATGTATTATTGCTACATAAATATTATATTGCAGTTTTAGTGTTGCCAACTCCGTTTGTAATATGCAATAAGACTACAAAATGCATCTATGATGCATTTTCGATCTTTCCAATCCAGACGAGAGATCTCTCTCTCCTGTCTGTGTGTGTCTGCTACATGCAGCAACACACACACACGGCGGAGATGGCGGAGAGAAAGCGCTCCGAGGTGTGGTTAAATGTTACGTGTCTCGATGTGGACAATGCTCGTTGCCAAAGGTGCAATAAGAGTTTAGCATGTAAGTGCACCACATTCAGACGGAGAAATGAACCGTTTCCGACTGTCTTTCTAGTGGCTCTATAGCCCCATCCACGAGTAACGTTTCCACGTCAGGTATGTTATGTTTATTGTATACCTCAATCTTCCTCCAGAAGAACCGTTGCAGCGTACCTGTCTGCCCCACCTGTGTTGCTCTGTACCACTGTATTTTTGCAGTAAATACTTGTTTTTTGTTTGTTTTTTACAGTTAATTTGTTTAGTTAATTTACCTTTTTTTTTGTTCAAAAGAACCGATAAGAGTACCGTTAAAAGACCGGATCGATAAGCGTTATCGATAAAAGTAGTAGTACCGTTTAAACCTTAACGATACCCATCCCTAATTTTAGGTTATCTGTTCAGTACAGGATAATAAGAGCTGGGAGGCTTACCTTGAAAATGTAATTTGTTATCTCTCTGATATCTGTATTTATAGTCTAATGACATTTAATATTAAGTAGGCCTACTGTATGTTTGTGATTGGATCTCAGAGTGCGGACACTGCAGAGATGAAGAGGCTGAAAGAAGAAAAAGAGTTGAAGAAAAATAAAAAGGTGGGAGAGCGAGATAATAAAGTGCCTGGTGGAAAGGAGGTCAGTATACACCACCTTCAGTGATTTAACTGTATACTGTACGTACGTCTCAACCAGATTCCACACAATCACATACACTGTTTGCTAATCGGTTAATATTCCAATATTCTATTCCATTTTTTTCTCCAGTCGACCCTGATGGATGTTCCTCTGATGTCTAAAGAGATGCTGGTGGATGAAAAAGAGCAACCTCAACTAAATGAAGGTGCCAGCAAATATAAGGAATCCAGAATAGTTTAAGCTCACAGCTTACTTACAAGGCTTACACTTTTATAAACAAACACGAAAGCTCTCTAAACACAAGATTGACTCCTGATATCCTGTTGTCTAACTAATTAATAACCATAAGTTGGGGATATCTTTTATCATCAATGTCCAGCCTCGCTGAAACAGTATCCTGCTTATTACACAGCTATTTACAAAATACAAAAACTGCCAAATTGACTCACAATATTGATGTCAAAAAATTACATTAAAACAATTATTGGGGAAATAATCGTATTGCTTCCGCTAAGGAAAAATAGTCCTTTCAACTGCAAAGCAACGGCTAGATCTGCGGCGGCAGGAACATAACTCAAAATGACGGCAGCAGTGATCTAGGATTTGTATTCACATTATTTTTTTGCTTTAAGTCTTTAATCACTAAGTTTGCCCAAACCTTGTTCCCTTTAATATCTACTTCCTGTATATCCTCTTCTTCTGATTTCTCTGTTATCCAGCTTTCTATCTCTTTTAACCTCTTTCCTATTCCGTGTTTTTACTGGGGACAGTTTAGTCATCAAGGAATTTAGAAAAGTGTTTCATGGTGTTATCTGATGTTAAACTGATCGGACTTCTTTCTGCGGATTGATATGGCTGCACATCGTCCTAAATTCAAAGCAGCTTTATAAAAGTGTGCTATAAAGAAATAACAAACCTCTGAATGTCAAGTATTCAACCAAGCTGCGTAATAATGAGTGATAACTGCTTCCGTACAGCAATAAGGGCATCCAGATAGATACACAAAATAACACACGTAGTTTAGGAATGTATTCTAATTAAGATTGTTCACAACATATAGCCCATTCCACTTATAGCCAAGATCATAATAACTAAGTATTGCGTGTTATCATATCTATGTATTATAATTGATCCTCTTTCCTAATACTAGTGCATCAAAGCAAAGAGGCTGATCCTTCACCTAAGAAAACAGAAGAAGCCAAGCGATTACAAGCAGAGAGTCCTAAACCTGTGGACAAGCCAAAGGGAGATACAGTGAGTTTATTACTTTCTTTAAGATAATCACAGAAATAATGGGCAGAACTGGAAGAAGTATTTAGATCTTATACTTAAAGAAAATGCCCTAAATATTTGTAAATGCTGTTTAATCTTTAGAAATACCCTTGCTAGTTCTTCTATCCTCCCTATCCAGTCTGTAGAGGATGAGCTGCAGTCTCAGTTCAGTGCGTATGAGAAGATCCAGGAGCAGGTGGAGCACATCCTGCAGCACTGGGACCGAGCCCAGAGCTTGTTGCTGCTCCCGCTCCCCACTGAAGAAGCCCCACTGTCGTCAGAGGACATCGCAGCAGAGAAACATGTGAGTTGGCTGACTGTCGGTTTAGTTTAGTCTATTACAGTATGCTTCAATACAGACATATTTGTGTATGTTGACCCAGAAGTTAGCATCAGAAGGGCTCGACTAAAAGCATAAGGATTTTCTTTGTATTTCCAAATACTGCAGACATTTTTTTTTGCTCTTTGGCAAACTCACAATGATTCCAGTTCATCGGCTTACCACTCTGAAATAGAGATTTGTGCAATCTTGTGATTTTAACCATCTTGTGCTGAATGTGAAGGAGATGGTGTGGGACCCAAAGGCAGTGGGCGACCTTAGGCCGGTGGTTATCCACCATGAACCCATAGCTCAGGTCAGTACCTTGTTGTCCATATAGATAGTACACTCAGCTGGAGGGTGCATGTTGAAGGTCTGTGCTCTAGACTTCAACAGCAGTTGTATTTCTTGCGTAGACTGGGCTTTCGGAGTCGACCAGAAGTTCATGTTACTGTTTTATCATGCAGTGTTGGAGAGCATCATTAGGTATGGTATCACTGCCTGGTATGGTATGTTGACAGTGCAGTCAAAGTCACAGATCGTTCGCCTGGTACAGACTGCTTTGAAAATTATGGAAGTCAAAAAAACATCCATCTCTCCAAAACATATATGAGCAGTCCATTATCAGACAGGCACAAAACGTACAACCCAGAATTCCAGCTCCTACCTTCTGGTAGAAGATTCAGGGTTCCCAAGAGCAGGCTGAACAGCAATAAGCACTCATTCCAGCTTCTTAACACTCACATGTGATGTAATATACTTTTAAATGTTGGCCATGAGGGTTGTGCAATAGGTCACCATTGTCAGTAGGTGTGTCTGCGTAATTTGTTTGTGCAAACGGTGTATGAGTGATGATATGTGTATGTATTTTAATGTTTATTATGTTTGTATATGTACATGTATGCGGAACTGCAGGACAGAGTCTGTTACGTCCTCACTAAGGTCTAGGGGACCTGGAGACAGTAACACACAACAACCAATACATGAGGGAGTCAGCGTAAACGTTAACAAAATGTTTATTCCTTTTACAACCAAGAATACTGACCACAAATGCTCTTTAAGTGAGGAGGAGGAGGAGGAGGAGGAGGAGGAGGAGGAGGAGGAGGAGGAGGAGGAGGAGGAGGAGGAGGAGGAGGAGGAGGAGGAGGCGACGACAAAGGAGATGTTGCTAAACAAAATACATAAATATAACAAAACCAGGCCTATCTCTAAATCTATCCTCTGAAACCAAAACTCAAACAAAAACCCTCACCATCTGAACTACTAATAATTGGACAAAGCAAAATACAGGGGTGGCTGATAGGGGCCAGCAGAGGGTGAGAGGAGCCAATCAGCCGTCAGTCTCAGGAGCCCAGGCAGGTACTGATCAGCTGCTGATTAGCTGTAGAGAAAAACAGGGAGAAGAGAAAAGAGCAGGAGAGAAGGAAAACTAAACATGAGTCCAAAACTAATTTACTTACGGTGACAATAAAGTCTATCGTATAAACCTCTCTCTTCCTTTCTACAGACCCATTGGTTAAAAGTTGTAGAGGGGCATCTATCAATCAAATGTGGGACATTATGTCAAATTGCGGGACACCTGATCACTCTTTCCCCCATGTCTGCACAGACCCCTGTTGGCAGGAAGAACAAGAAGGCCCACAGCAAGATTATGTCTCCGATACCAAGTCAAATAGCTGCACCAGCTGAAGCAGACAAGGTGTACCCAGAGGAAATCATCCCTCACATCGTGCTGAATGTTACGGGGAAAGACTCTCCGAGTGCCACTGAGCTGCTCAAAGGCAGCACCGTGCCTCAGCTGGTCCAGGTAGTTTTCTCTTTCTGTTATAGTATAAGTTACAGCTTCTTTTTAATAGTTTATTACTTTGCCTAATGGTTTTATTTCTCCTTTTGAATGGTTAGGTTTTGGATGATCTGGGGTTGGGACCCAGCGGCCCACCCATCCCTCCCCCCGCCACTTTCTCTGTGGTTCCTTTTCCCAAAAGCAGAGAGCAATCTATGAGTAAAGTCACCTGCAGCCGTTTCACCTTCCTGGTTCCCTCAGGGCAGGAGGAACAGGATGAGGAGAAGAAAGACTCAGAGGAAGATTTACAAGCATCAGTTCTAAAGGTAACCGTACATATACACCACATGAATAAACAAACAAAGTGCACAATTTAACAACTTGGAAGTGTCCATCTTGTCCGAAACACACATCCTTTTATGTCAGGAACCAACAAAAAAAAATAGTGCTGTGAATTACAAGCTACCAATCATCTTTATAATGTCACACAGGTTTATGATGCAAAGTCATAACAGTCAATAAATCAAAAGTACAAACTATTGTTAAAACATATATAAATATTCGGATTTTTTTTTTTGGTGCACTTTAAAGGAAGAGTCAACATATTCCAAAGGTCGCAGCAAAGGCAGCACTAAGGAGAGTGCAGTAACAAAGGACAAAAAGAGTCAAAAGATCAAGAGACAAACTTCAGCCAAGACAAAAACAAAGGTCCCGGTCAATTCTCGCACATCTGCACACGGCTCACTGGACTGCACCGAACAAGACCTACACCAAGGAAACTTAGAGCTGAAACGCAGCCAGAGGCAAATACACACAGACTCTCTGAATGAAAACACATTCTGTTTCTTTACTTTGTGTTTGTTCTTTAACTAACTGTTTGTGTTTTTTTGTGTGTAGCCTGACGAATTTTCGCTGGGTTGTACCAGCCAACAGTGAGGTGGTTCTGAAGATTTGGTTTTACTCAGAATCCCCAGAGACGTTTAAACAGACCTTCAACTTTGAGCTGCTGGGGACCCAGAGACTCTACCAGCTCCTCTGCACGGGGATTTGTACCTATCCCTCCATCTGCAAAGACCACACGTCAGTCAGCAATGTTTAATAACTTAATGCAGTATTACGGTAAAGAAAGGGGAAGGGAAAGAAAAGAGGGGTTATTACAGATACAAATAGATACCACAAAAAAAACATTTAATTATAAATCATAACACGAGAACAGAATTCAGAGGTGAGTTGACATGCTCCTCTGCTGTTCACCAGTTGGGATTATTTTGTACTTCAGTTTGTTTGTAGGCTTTTAGGCATGATTTGAAAAAAAAATAGCCCCTACAAAAAAATATAATTTCTGGCTTGAGTTCACATGCATTTTCTCAGGCAGGAACACATTTTTTGGTACGCCACATAAATGCAGCACAAATGCTCTGTCTCGCAATCTTAATAAAAGTAAAACATAATCTGGATCTGCATTTCTTTTCTTGGGAAATACCGCCCCCATGTAACAAGGTGTTATGCTCACTAGACTGAACCCACAATGCAAACACTGAGACAGGAGACAGGGACATTTATTGCACAGATGTTGGAGTTGGGGTGGTGAGGAAGGGAACAGGTGGACTGGGGAATCCAGGGGGAGTCCAGGGAGAATCCAGGGAGCAGGGAAAGCAAGCCAAGAGGTGTGGAGCTGAGGTGAAAACACGGTCGTGGCAGGCTGTTGAGTTGGTGGGTGATCTGACCAGGTAAAGAAACAATTAGCCAGGTGCAAATAACTCACAAGGGTCTCACTAAAGAGCTAAGTTTAGCCGGTGCCGTTTAGTGGATATCTGACGAACTGGCGAAGACTGGAGGTGATGACCGGGCTTTTATACAGGTGCAGGTGAGTGGTGGCAATCAGTGAAATGAGCAGCAGCTGGAGAGGTGGGAATCCAAAAGTAGGTCAGCAACGGCCAGCCGGGGAGACAGACACGCAGGGAAAACAGGGAGGCAGTACTGTGGATCCTCACATAGGCCATAAGGTGAACCCTGTTATCGTTTCATCCCGCTCCACAGAAGTGGAACTACACAATCTTTAGTTCATAAAAAAGAACGAGTCATGCTTATCCACCCAAAAAAAGTTCGTCGCTAAAATTCCTGTCAATTCTTCTAGGCACGTAATTATTGGCTGAACTAGTCCCTTCAAAGCGTAATAATATCTTGGTCAAAAGTAGTGCCACGGTCCGTCACGTGATCGTGCTACACCAATTGGGTAGCTGCATATACCGGTATCAACAAACAGATTTGTAAAAAATGGCGACCGCCATGGTTTCATCGAGTAGCGGGGACGAGGAAAACGCACCAGAAAGTCTCAAAAAGTCAAAATTATCAACATACAAACATTGTTACATGCATATTACGTCTGTGAAGCACGAAAAGGTTGATTATTTTACCAATACAAGATGGAATACGTACAGGACAAGCTTACAACGGTGGCATTGATTTTTAAGTTACAAATACAATATTATCATATTACAATAATAATAATATATTGTGGTGACACGTTATTGGACATAATTCACCTTGCTTATTGTGTTGCCACACGGACCCTTTAGTGGGGAACACCTGTAGCTTTAGCTGCCATTCCTGCTAGCTCATCAGGCAGAGCAGTGCATGTGTTAACCTCTCTGAAAGTAATGGATAATAAAGATTGGAACTCCATTCTTAATACACCGCCTCCGACTCTCTTTTCACGGCACTACACTGGTGACCCTGACTTTTCCGAGCGCGATGTTTTCATAAAGCTGCCGGAATTCTGGGAGCACACCGCGGAGGCATGGTTCGCACACGTGGAGGCACATTTCGCCTGCCGACAGGTCCGTGACGGGGACCTAAAATACTACCATGTGGTAGTATTTTGGGGGAGCTCCACGTCGTCCAGGTTGGTGGGATTCATCGCAGCCCCCCCACATCATGGCAAATATGAGGCGATTAAGGCCCTTCTCCTTAAGACATTTAGCTTATCTGCTAAGGAGAGGGCCCGCCAGATACTTGACATTCAAGGCCTAGGAGACAGCAAGCCATCCCAGCTAATGGAGAAAATGCTAAATCTGCTAGGGGGGGAAGATCCCCGTATTTTATTCACGGAGATTTTCCTGCGTCACTTGCCTCCCCGGGTACAGACGGCGCTGGCCAACACGCCTGTCACGGAGCCCCGTGCTTTGGCTGAGGAAGCGGATCGTTTTTTCCTGGCTACGCAACAGCCCGGGGCAGAGACGTTAGCCGCGACGCTCAGCGGCCCACCGGCAGTCAAGAAAGCGTGGCGGAGGCCGGACACGGCTGTGGCTAGCCGGCGTGGAGACGCCGGAGAGTGCGTTTACCACGCACGTTTCGGGACAAGGGCGAAGAGATGCATCGCTCCGTGCAGCTACAAACCCCCGGGAAACGGAGGGGCCGGCGCTCAGTAGTGGCTCTGAGCGTCGGCGGCACGTGCAGGCTCCTCTTCGTCAGCGACAGCGTTTCGGGGAGCCTGTTTCTGTGTGACACGGGCGCTCAACGGAGCGTAGTTCCAGCGTCGAGTGAAGACGTCGCCCGTGGGGGGGCACGGACCGCGATTGACGACGGCTAACGGCAGTCCCATTCGCACGTACGGCGTGAGGCCTATGTGTTTGTGCATCGGAGGACAGCGTTTCAGCTGGGATTTTGTGACAGCGGACATTTCTTTTCCCCTCCTCGGAGCGGATTTTTTGTGTGCTCATGGACTCTTAGTGGACGTTAAGAATAGGCGTTTGGTTGATGCCTTAACGTTTTCTTCCCTCGTGTGCACACTTGGCAGCGCAGCGTACGACGGGCTGTCAGGCTCGCTGTCAGATGCAGACACGTTTCTCAGACTGTTGGCCGAGTTTCCAGACCTGTCGCTACCCACCTTCTCTGCGCTTACCACTAAGCATGGCGTGGAACACCACGTCACTACCGGGGGGCCTCCTGTCTACGCCAGGGCCCGGCGGTTGAACCCTTCTAAGCTGGCTGTAGCGAGGGCGGAGTTCGCAACCATGGAGCGCCTGGGCATTGTCCGCCGCTCCGACAGTCCTTGGGCTTCCCCCCTGCACGTCGTTCCCAAATCGAACGGCGGGTTCCGCCAGTGCGGGGATTACTGCCGACTCAACGACGCCACTACGCCTGACCGCTATCCGGTGCCGCACATTCAGGACTTTTCGGCGCATCTGGCCGGTACGGGGGTGTTTTCCAAGGTGGACCTGGTGCGTGGATACCACCAGGTGCCCATGCACCCCCTGGACATTCCCAAGACAGCAGTGATAACGCCTTTTGGACTTTTTGAGTTCCTGCGGATGCCTTTTGGACTCAAGAATGCCGCTCAGACGTTCCAGCGCCTGATGGATTCGGTGCTGCGGGACCTGCCGTTTGTGTTTGTTTACCTCGACGACATACTCGTCGCCAGCGCTTCAGTGCAGGAGCACCTGTCCCACCTCCGAGCCCTTTTCACACGGCTCAACGAACACGGATTAATCATCAATCCTGCAAAGTGCCAGTTCGGGGTGTCGGACATCGATTTCCTGGGGCACCGCGTCACCAAGGGCGGTGCGACACCTCTGCCAGCGAAGGTGGAGGCTGTTGCGGCGTTTCCTCGCCCGCTCACAGCCCGGTCGCTCCGTGAGTTTCTGGGGATGGTGACTTTCTACCACCGTTTCATCGCCCAGGCCGCACACATCATGCGGCCGCTGTATGAAGCGTTGAAAGGCAAGACCCCCGTCCAGGAGATCGACTGGACAGCAGAGGCGGACGGTGCTTTTGCTGAGGTCAAGACCGCGTTGGCTCAGGCGGCTTTGCTGGCACACCCATCATCTACGGCTCCCATCTCCATCACCACGGACGCGTCAGACTACGCGGTCGGCGCAGTGCACGAGCAGTGGGTGGAGGGCGCTTGGCAGCCGCTCGCCTTTTTCAGCCGCCAGCTGACGCCTAGAGAACGCAAATACAGCGCCTTTGACCGGGAGCTCCTCGGACTTTATTTGGCCGTGCGGCACTTCCGTTTCATGCTGGAAGGCCGTGAATTTACGGCGTTTGTCGACCACAAGCCGCTCACCTTTGCCATGTCAAAAGTGGCGGAGCCTTGGTCGGCACGTCAGCAGCGGCAGCTGTCCTACATATCGGAGTTCACTACGGACATTAAGCACGTGGCTGGCAAGTCGAACCTGGTTGCTGATTGCCTCTCCAGGGTCGTCATCGGTGCCGTCCAGTTGGGCCTGGACTATACTCGCATGGCGGCAGACCAGGTCACAGATCCCGGCGTCCAGGCCCTGAAGGTGGAGAGCGCGGGGCTGCGCTTGGAGGACGTGGTGTTCGGCGACGCGGGCATTACTCTCCTGTGTGACGTCTCTACGGGCCTGGCGCGGCCTGTCGTCCCTGCCAGCTGGAGGCGTCCTGTGTTCGAGGCTGTGCACGGCCTGTCACACCCCGGCGTTAAACCTTCGGTCCGTTTGGTAGCGGCGAAGTTCGTTTGGCAAGGACTGAAAAGGGACGTGAGGACTTGGGCCAGGGAGTGCGTGGCTTGTCAACGCGCTAAGGTGCACCGCCACACGAAGGCCCCGTTGGAGCGTTTCCTGGTGCCTGAGAGGAGGTTTGATCACGTCAACATTGACCTGGTTGGTCCGTTGCCTTCCTCTCAGGGGTTTTCCTACCTCCTCACCATGGTGGACAGGACGACCCGTTGGCCGGAGGCGGTTCCGCTCGTTTCGACATCAGCCGCAGACGTTGCCCGGGCCTTCATTGCAACGTGGGTGTGTCGTTTTGGCACCCCGTCAGACATTTCCTCAGACAGGGGCTCTCAGTTCACATCCGAGCTCTGGAACGCTGTGGCAGGCGGTTTGGGGGTTAAGCTGCACAGGACTACCGCTTACCACCCTCAGGCTAACGGTCTCTGCGAGCGCTTTCATCGCTCCATGAAGGCGGCCCTCAAGGCCGGCCTTACGGACGGTAACTGGGTCGACAAGCTGCCCTGGGTGATGCTGGGCCTGAGGACCGCACCTAAGGAAGATCTGCAGTGTTCTACAGCGGAGATGGTCTACGGTCAGCCGCTGAGAGTTCCGGGGGATTTCCTCCCAAATGCATCGGCTCCCTGGTCGGCGTCGGCCCAGCGGGCTTTCCTGCGTGACGCCGCTGAGGCCTTTGTTCCGATCCCTACTACTCAGCACGGTACTCAGGTGTCCCAGGTTCCCGCAGAGCTCCGCTCGGCGGAGCACGTGTTCATCCGGCACGATGCGCACAGAGGCCCCCTGCAGCCCCCTTATGATGGGCCTTTCCGGGTCTTGGAGCACGGGGACAAGCACCTGGTGGTCGACCTGGGTGGCAAGGCCGAGCACGTCTCGGTGGACCGGGTGAAGGCTGCTCACCTGGACTTGGACCAGCCTGTGGTGCTGGCTCGACCTCCGCGACGGGGCCGCCCCCCGGCCTCGTCCCCTGTCACGGATTTAAGACCTGTTGTTCCGGTCCCTCCCCTTCCGGGGGCCGCACAGGCGGGAGTCACTCTTACGACTCCCGTGCTCAGGAGTCGTGGGGGTCGGCGTGTCGTTCCTCCCCGCCATGCTGATTTTGTTTATGTGTGAATTCTGGGGGGGCTTGTGTGGTGACACGTTATTGGACATAATTCACCTTGCTTATTGTGTTGCCACACGGACCCTTTAGTGGGGAACACCTGTAGCTTTAGCTGCCATTCCTGCTAGCTCATCAGGCAGAGCAGTGCATGTGTTAACCTCTCTGAAAGTAATGGATAATAAAGATTGGAACTCCATTCTTAATACACCGCCTCCGACTCTCTTTTCACGGCACTACAATATTATATATATCTATAAGAATAATCTATATATATCTATAATAATAATAATAATGTAATTCATCAAATTATTATATGATGAATGAGTAAATAAATGAATCAATGGTCATTGGTATAAGTACTGCATTTTATTGATCTAAATTACTTAACGTAACAAGTTAACCTTCTTCTTGGACGCAGCTATGTATGAAATCAAGTCATGTTTATTTTAAGAGTGCATTTAACGTGTACAGGGTAACAATAACAACAGACAAACAGACAAAAAGTCCTCAGTCTAATGGAATAATCCACGAGCTCAGCGAATGAACCTAGCGATGCGAACATGGTAGTCCAGGAATGTTGTTGTTGCTGGAGTTGGCTGATAAACGCTGCTAGCCAATGTTGATTCGATGGTCAACTCTGTTCCCAGATAGTAAAACCTCTCACAAATACCGCGTATATAACGCAAATACCTCGGACTTAGTGATGTATTAAGACATATGACAAAACATGACATAAAACAAGCATACAGCACTGTTTAGAATCCATTTGGTCTGGTTTAGCGTAACCATGGAGGCGGCCATCTTTCACTTCTGTTGACAATATGCAGCTACCCAATTGGTGTAGCACGATCACGTGACGAACCGTGGCACTACTTTTGACCAATATATTATTACGCTTTGAAGGGACTAGTTCAGCCAATAATTACGTGCCTAGAAGAATTGACAGGAATTTTAGCGACGAACTTTTCTTTGGTGGATAAGCATGACTCGTTCTTTTTTATGAACTAAAGATTATGTAGTTCCACTTCTGTGGAGCGGGATTTCTTTTCTAAAGGACTTTTCGAGGTTCACCTTGCGGCCTAACACAGGGTACATGAACATTGGACCAGTAGTTTTTCAGTAAAAAATAAAAACAGAAAACCTACCCGAAAAACATTACTTCTTTGATAAATAAATTACAATACAGTTAAAAAAAACTCAAGTTATTGTTGACTGCAAGAACTCACAGTTATCATCTATGCTTTCCCCAGGACTCTTTTTGCTTTCAGTAAGAAGGTATCACAAATGGAAAAGGGGCTCGAAAAGACTTACGCAATCAAACCTGGGTACTTTGAGTTTGGACCGTTACTCTGTGGAAAGACCAGAGACAGGTGAGTGGTAGTGAATGGCTTAGTGTTTGAATCCGTCTTTTAATTGATGCTAACATATTGAAATGTGTCTCTGTTTGTGTAGATACAAGGAAAGTAGGTACCCTGAGAACACAGAGAGACTAGTGATTCAAAACACTTCAGGCCTGGAGGCTGAGGTCCAGTTCAATTTCCAGCACGACACCCAGGCTGCCACATATCTGCTGCACCCCCCGAAAATGACTCTGAAACCTGACCAGAAACAGGTACCCCACAGATCTTACCTGAGTGATAATGTGTTACCAAAAAAAGCATAAGGAGTCAGATTGAGAGTATTTTGTTGTTAATTAATTAAATGTTCCTGTGGAAATGTTACTTTTTTCTTGCTAGGAATTGACAGTGTGGGCCTACCCAACAAACATTGGACAAATGAAGGACAGTATAATTTGCCAAATCAAAGACAATCCAGAGCCTGTCATCATCAACATCTCCTGCTGGGGCGTGCGGCCAGAGCTGGAGCTGGAAAGCAAGCATTTGCACTGTAACAGGACTATGCTGCACAGGTAACAACATATAGAATTCAGGGATGGATTCCACAGTGTTCTTCTAAAATAGCTTGACAAGTATTTTTCACAAAGGACATGCGATACCAGTCCAAAGACAGAAGCAGAATGATAAAGTCAATACATTAACTAAAACAACCTCAAAACGCATACTTCTGTACATACATTGGCTATTCTGTGCATGATTGCCTCCCAGTATGCAATTAAGCAATCATACACGAGAGGCCGTTCTTTAACGTCATTATTGGTACGACAGTACTGCGGCAGGGCCGAGGCGCTTGCGCCGAGGTCCGTACGCCTGTACTGGAGTTTGCTTTTCAGGCCAAGGGTATACCGTTTTTCTCAGACGCGGAGGGATACTGACTTGTTGTGAAAAGGCACGTTCTATTTGACCGTTCTTTGATCGTGGAATCAAACACGCCTATTGACCAATCAGAGAGCTTGCTCACACCTATGTGTTATAGAATATGGCATAATGCACTTTGAGCATGAATGTAAAAGATAAATGGAAACTACATAAGGATTGGTCCCCTTCAAGGCAAGGCAAGGCATGGCAAGTTTATTTATATAGCACCTTTCAACACAAGGCAATGCAAAGTGCTTTAAAAAAAAATGTCATTTAAAAACAGTCATTAAAAAACAAAGATAATACAATACAGTAAACAGTAAAAAAGAAAAAATACATGAATAAAAGTTACAGTGCAGTTTAAGATATGATCCTTTGCTCTTTACACTTATTTCTTGCCCTATTCTTCGTTTTTCCCCTTTCCGATAGGGTCCCCGACTCCTATATTTGTAACACTTCGATAGGGTCCCCGACTCCTATATTTTTAACACTTCTTAGGGTCCCCGACACCTAAACCATGTGCACAATTGTAATATATCATTTATATGATCCTTTGCTCTTTACACAATTGTCTTGCCCTATTCTTCGTTTTTCTCTTTTCTGATAGGGTCCACGACTCCTATTTTTAACACCTTCAGTCCTATAAGAGATGCTCAGTGGTGCATGAAACCAAAATGGAGCAATTGTTGATTAAAAAAAGTACCCGTATCTGGGCCCTTAGAGCATGTGCAATTGAGCCCCACCTCCAAGATCACACTCTTGGCTCAGTCTAATGCATGGAGAGAGAAAGAACTCAGAATTTGGCTTTTAGCTAATTTTACAACTTTTAAACCAAATAAGGGCTATACAAGTGTTCATACTGGGTTGTTTATTTAACTACAAAATGATACACTGATTTAGAGGTGTCTCTTTTCCAATATATATGTTTGGGCCCAAATGACATCACGGACTAAGTGTAAGTGTAGTACCACCGTTTGGTCACTACGGAAATGTGCTTCAATGGCCGGCGCTCTTCCTGGGGAAGTTTGTTGACAGCTAGCTAGCTATAGTTTTTTTTTAGTCAATGATACTATACATTACAAATGTATGCACTTCATAAATGTTAACAGTGCACGACATGGCAGTGTACTAAAAAAGTATCTGAATTGGGACACAGCATAATTCTTAGACTGACCTGTTTATCCCTCTGTCCCTTTTCTTTCTGTCAACCAACCTTCTTCCACCCTTCTCTCAAGGCGTAACAGCTGTAGTGTGACGCTGCATAATAAGACGGCCCTGCCGGTGTCTTGGAAGCTGCAGGGTGTGGACGAGTTGGGAGATGAGTTCAGTGTGCCACAGGATCAAGGCGTCATCTCAGCTAACTCCTCTTTCCTCCTGAGCTTGCACTTCAGGGCCAAAAAGCCACTCCACATAAAGAAGATCCTACGTTTGGAGGTAGTCTTCATTTTGTAATACAGTATGGAATTAAACTACACTCAATTTGCAATTTAGGAAAGCACCTTCAAATGTCAAAGATGCTCTGTCTGTTTTGTTTCAGGTATCAGATGTGGAGAAGATTTTAGGCGTTGTACAAACAGAAAACATACAGGTCACAGCTGAAGCCTACGATGTCGCTCTGGAAATCATACCAGGTACAAACTGGAAGAACTTACATTTCATGTACAGGTCAAACTTAATATGTGCTTTCTTGATATGATACATTAGGGTTAGGGTATAAAGATAGCAGAACAAACAATATGTATACAATGATATGACACAAAATGGTAATGACGCTTACCTCTGCAGTGTTTTTTATGATAGCTTGCTTACATGCGCATTCACATGCTAACACACACACTTTACTAAAGCTGACAAAACTTACCTCACTCATAATGTCACAGAAACTCAATAAATGGGGAGGTATAATCAAAAGACTGAAAGTGATGTTTCCTCAACATTTTGAAAATACTGTAAATCCCCAGATATGAGGCTTGAAGACAAAAGCAGTCGATCTCAGGATCCTAGATTAAAACTATCTACAGTAGTACATCACAGCTCAATACATTGTTTTCATTTCAATGTAAACGAGCAAGAACAAGCGGACTCCTTACCATTTAAACAATTTTAACAGAATGCATCTACATTACCCACTTTTATGGTTTAGTCAATCCTTTTAAAGTATAATGTTAAAACTAGACTACTGCTTTTGTTTCTGTAGCAGATGGCTGTCTTGACTTTGGAACCATCAAAGTTTTTGAAGAGGGCAAACAGTCTCTCAGGTTGAAAAACCAAGGGAAATATGAAACAGCCTACAAGTCAGTATAATGTGCTACTTAAATGTGTATGATCAGTCCCAGTTTCATATTACTACATGTCACCTCACCATGAAACTAGTAAAGTTGTTTATTTGCATTCTTCTTTTTCCACAAGGTTAACACTTCAGCAGACTGACCCACCCCAGCCAAACCTGGAATCTATTTTCACGTTGTCCCCTCCGAGTGGTACTCTAATGCCCCACGAGAAGCCCACCACAGTGCAGATCCTCTGCAAAGCCAATACAGAAATCTCAATGATAGAGCAGCCTATCCTGCTCTGCCAGGTCAGAGCTTTAATAAGAAGTCTTAACCATTACAGATGTGGAAGGTTAACTTTGCACATTGAAGCATGATCTTGTAACATAGCTTTCTTTGGAACACAGCCTTACAATTTTAGTACAAGATAAAAGGGTTGTGCCCAATTTCCTGTCTCTCACTCATGCTCAGATTTGTGTTTCTTCTTCTACAGTTGATTGAACCCAACATTGGGAATGGAGAAGTCGTCGCCACACTAACCATCAACATTTCAGTCAAGTCGGTCTTCTCCAGGTAAAGGCTTTATTCATTCTATTTTGAGTAATACATCTCTGGATTTATTTTTAGAGACCACTCCAATTTGTTCTTGAATCTGAATCTACCTGTATGGCAGCCATTCCATTCCAGTGTCTGTTGAATTCCAACACAGAGAAATGTTGTCAGTAGTTTATATAATAAAATAATTGTACTCAAACACATACCTATACATATTAAAACCAGCTGATAATGCTTCAGTGGTCTCTTTATTTTTTCCAGAGCTGTATTTATTAGTAATGAATTGTTCTTAGTATTGTAAGCAAGTCAGACAAAAGACTGCATTGACTAGAACAAATTATTCTGATATTATGTTTTATTAAAAAGGTGACTTTTATAAAACAAAAACAAAAAACTAACAAATGTATAAGAACAAACAAATTAACAAATTAACTGAAATTATCAAGGCATACGATTTATAATAATTTGCGAGGAAAATATTTTAGAATTTCTATTGAAAAGAAGGAAAGATTAAAGTCACAAATGTATGGGAACACCTGTGACTGCATACAAACACAAGCTCAAACATGTTTACTGTAAATATTTAGAGATATGCAATGTCTTCTTATAGCACTTCGAACAATGTCAGTTAGAAAGAGAAATTCAGATGTTCTTCTTGTAAATGTACAACTTTTATTTTGAAAGTTTATCGCTGTGTAATAATGTTTTCTAAATAAAAGGCCCCAATATGATATCAGTTTTGATGTCAGTTAGTACATTTGTTGCCCTACATTGTGTCTGCAAGGGTGATTATTTCTAAGCCGAAACACACATTATAAATGATTGTGTGGGTTTTTAGGTACAAGATCACACCTGCCTGTGACATCAACTTTGGTCCTCTGGTCTACGGCTACAAGAAAACTGAGAGCTTCACCATTGAGAACAACGGAACCTTTGAGACCCGTTACAGTGTATGCCGCTTGATCACAGACGCCACCTCACCGGGAAAGCAAGGGTAGGACGAGACAACGAACACAGAAACATGTACACAGAGGCGCAAGGGTTAACACTATTTCAGAAAAACTCAATTGGAATGGAACTGTATTTTCTGAAGATGTGCTCTCAAATGCCACATTTCAAAGTAACCCAATTGTAAAAGTAGTAGCTCAGTGCAGGTGCTCAGTGTTTATTGATGAGGTACGAACAAATTGAACCATCTGTTTGTGACAAATCTGATATTGGAGTTTAATACACCTTACAAATGTACAAAAGTTTAATTGAAGCATTATTGTGTTGCCAATCCATGCAAATGTTCCATTGCCTTGACTGGAGGGAATGTGCTATGAAGTCAAACGTTGTGGAGGTGAAACACATTCAAAGTTGCCTATTCACCCACTGAGAAGGAAGGATGACAGAATGTCTAAAATCTCTCATAGTCCTTTTCCAATATAATTTTCCTAATGATGTTCAAAATAAATGATGGTTTGTGTCCCTGTGTACTTATCTCAGGGGTCCCGCTAAGAAGAGCCAATCAGAGAGAGCCACTGGTGCCACTGGTGCCACTGGTGCCACTAGCAAAGTGAGACGTGAATCCATTCAGAGAGACTTGAGTATTACACAGGTGAGAAATCACAAGTAAATGATAACAATGAAAGTGCCTGTTTATTTATGCAGGTTTTGTTTTGTTGGACTGTCCTCTTTATTTCTTTCTAAATGTTAGTGCATTCACACCTAATAGTCCGCTTCTCTGGTGCGCACCAGATGACAGTTTGTTACATTGTTTCATTTTTCAGAAGGTTCGGTTTGCGTTCACATGGGCAAAATTCAAACGGACTATAAACTTTAAACACAAGTCATGTGCTCGGAAATGCTGTTCAACAATTGGTCAGACATTAAGGGGGTAAAAACGCAAATCCCGGCAATTTCTACCGGAGCCTCCGCCATGGAGCCTCCGCAGGTTATTTTCATGCTGTTGTTAATCTGGAGAGCATATCAACAGCAATGGCGCATATGATTATATAATCAGACAACGTGCGATACAAAACATTATAACACATATAATTAGAGACGTTCTGCAGTAAGGAGGGGGTTTCACCGACGGCTGGTGGCTCTGACTTTTATGTATAGTTTTTAGTTTGATAGTTGTTTTTACTTTACACGACACTGTTCAACACTTCATGTGCTTCACTCTTTCACTAAATAAATGAAGACACCCGCGTTCTTGTGACACGTAAATACTACGCTTCCTATGTTTTGGTGCGGACTGCGTTCACACCAGCAATGAACCGCTCCAGAGTTCGCAAGCGAGCGTTCCGAGACCACCTATTTTAGCGGACCAGAGTCCGGTTGTTTAGTTCACTTAAGAGGTCTCGGACTGTGTTCACACCGACCCAAATGAACCGCACCAAGCGGCTAAACGCACCAGGGTTCGATTCAACCGGACTATACAAGGCAGGTGTGAATGCGCCCTAGGCTCATGGAAAAGTCCTTACCATCTTTCCTACATATTTGGGATTTTTTTCTCAAGATATATTATATGTATATATGTACAGCAAATTTCACAAAAAAGATTATTTTATCACTTGACCCTATTCCTATCTAGATTGGCCATGCATTTTGAAATGAATCAAACAAACAAAACAAAACCATGAACAGTCATAATGATATTTTGTATTGATTGATCACACATAGTGTTAGCTTCTATGCTGTTCTTTACACATTTACTAAAGTAAAACCAGATGTCAAACTCGGGTTCTGAAAAGTGAAGCTAATGTGTAATGGCTTCAAACCTGCCTTCTTTCTAGTGAGCAGCAACATAAGTATGGTTTTATATAAAGTCTATCCGAAAGTTAAACTACTTCTCACTTCATGTATTACTTTAGGAAACTTGTAAACATGGGCTTATTGTCTCAACTGCTAGTTTCAAGTCTTCTTCATGACAGCATGTCATTTGTTATACTTACCTTATTCAGTGTCTCATTGTGCTGCAGTCCCCATCAACAGATGACATGATATTGACTATGTCTACTTCTTATATAGGAGTAGGGAAACATTTTTTACAGTATCATTCTAACTTGTCTAACACATTTGCTATTAGGCCGCTGTTAATGTAACCTGTCAAAATAATACAAATTCTATGATAGATAAATACAAAAAAAAGAGTGCTCTGATGCTAACAACGGTTTGGAGGTTCAGGTTAGCAATGTTTATTCAGAATATAATACAACTGGTTATGTTCTTTTATGCAATGTTCATGTTCAAATAGCAGAGCAACAGAAACGTATGACAAAGCAGACACCTTCCATCAATGTTAATGATTATGTCAGTGTTCTCCCAGTACTCTGATCTGTACCTTCCTGATTTTGTGTCCCTCTAGAATCGCTTCACCATGGGGTTGTTCTCTGTGTCCCCCTGTAATGGCAGCTTGCATCCAGGGTCTCAGCAGGTGGTGACAGTGGAATGTGTTTCTGATCAGCTTGGCAGCTGGAACCAGGGTTTGCTTATTGACATCAGTGACCGTGACCCCTTAGACCACCCTGATGGCATTCCTTACAAACTGCTGGCTGAGGTCTGCAAGCCAGGTGAGAGCTCTGTGAACATAGTATTAAGAATGTACAAAATGAAAAAGTGCTACATTATGGATACAAGTGCTTTATCATCTTCACCAAGTGCTTTTCCTTTGACTAATCTGACTCTCTTTTGTCCTTTTTTGTTTGTTTCCCAGGTATATCGTTGGACATGGCTTCCATCTTTGAGGAGCACCATCTGTGTAACAACAGCAGTCAGCTCTCCTCAAAGCAGTTCTGCAATGCTGAAGGAATTTACGTCCAGGACGAGAACAAGTTTGTTTTCAACAAAGTCCTGGTCGGGCGCACTGCCAAGGCCCGCTTCAAACTCACCAACAACAGCAAGGTGCCCTGTGCGCTCAGCTTGGCCATCAAATATGTTGGCGCTAAGGTAAGGCATTGTGGATAAATGCACTTTACATGATTGTGGAAGATGGTTGTTAGTATGTCAAACATACGTTGTATTTCCTCACAGCCGTCTCGTGGAGCAGATGTTTTTGATTTGTCTGCTACGACACTGAGCATTCCTGAACAGTCTCACGTGTTCGCCGTGGTCACCTTCACACCTCAGGCCATGCAGCTCTACAGTGCTGTGTTCGAGGCCACGATGGACGTAACCAGCAGGTACATGAGTTACAACTGTGTATGTTTCTTCTCTTTGCTATTTGTTCTTTATTCAACTTTGTTTATTGGGTTTTGCAATAGCATACAGTTGTTACATCAGAGGTCATCAAAAGTAATAATTCTAAAATTCACTGTGAAAGACAATTTAAAAAAGCAACATTTGAAATATTGCTACAAACCGGAGCTACTAAAATGACACACAGAGGAAAAACAGACAGACAAACAAATAATAATATACAAAAAGCTGTCAAATAGTAAAGAACGGTGCCTCTATGCTGTTAGAATTGCATTGCTGACCACAGCCAGGGTTCCTACATTATACATAGTCTGGAAAGTATAGCATTTGACACATTTCCCGGTCTTGAAAAGAGAGTATGTAAATGATATGTCTTTTATGACTATATGGTCTATTTGTTTCCTGTATAGTTGTTTGAATATCACCTCTGAATGTAGAGATTTTTCCAATTTAAGTCAATGGTAAAACATATTTTTGGGGGTGAAATGGCGTCACAGACTGACACTGAAGTTGTAGTATTAACATTCGGCCACTTGAAATAGTTGCTTTAACACCGCCCTACTTCCTAGGGGCTTGTAAATGCTACAGTACATAGTCATAATGTACTTGTACCATTATATTAAACACTATTTAATAACACGATACTAATCAAGCTGTTAAATCTCAGATGTTAAGTATAGTCTGAAACATCCACTAAGAAATCTGGAAATTTGCCCACCCATTAATTTTGTCTTTTGGATCCAGAATGACACCTACAGTCAAGAGCAAGGTGCTGGAGTTTGACCTAATGGGAGAGGGCAATATGCCCAGTGTGTGTGTGGTGCGTCCGGCTCTAAGGACTAGCAGAGGGAGCCCGAGGCTGCAGTTCACACGAGTATCAGCAGGGCGGCGACATACCCGGCCCCTGGTGCTGCTCAATGACGGAAATGTTCCAGCACAGGTGGGAAAAGGCCTATTCCTTTTATTTTATTATAGATTCAATCATGACATAAGGGCGGATTTTCGTCGCTAAAGGTGCTTTGTTGCTCTGTGTGTTATGTAGGTACAGATTGACATGCTGGATAAACATGGAGTGTTCACCCTCAAAGCTGCTCCTGGCAACACTTGCAGCTCCATCTACTCCTCACAGATTGAAGGCACTACCAAGTCAGGTACAACCCTAATGTGTAAAACTCCTCTAACAGTCAGAAATGTGCACAACAGAGACTGTTGGAGGAAAATGTATTGCACCGAGCCAGTTGAGAAAATCATGACCACCTCACAAGCACTTTAACTCAAACACTTATGAGCCGAGTCTTCAAAATAAATCCAGAGCGCTGTGCAATGGAACCAGTCTGTCGTTGTAATGCACTCTTATACTCTACAAACTCATGTCCCATTGGTTGAAATTTTGGGGGAGGGAATTCCTTCCCCAATTTCCCCTCAAAATAGCTTTAGCTAGCACCTTCTAATGGTGTCTTGTTCAGTATTGCATTGCCTTTTTTGCTGACTCCACAGACCCTCAGTTCACTACTCCGGTTATTTCTGAAACTTAAAGAGGTTCCCATAGATGGACCAACTGTCTCCTGATTTGATTATTTATAGAAACTCAGGGTCTGTTTCTTCCCTAGAAGGCCTCTCTATTTCTGGCTGATCTCTAAGCCTTATTTTTACAATACACTCAATGTCTAGTAGTGTTAATTTCGTCAGCTATTTTTTAATTTAGTTTTAGTCTTAGTCCTGTGTTAAATTTCCTATTTAATTTTAGTCATATTTATTCACCTTAATCCTGTTTTTATTTAGTCAAGTTTTAGTCGACTAAAAGTCTGAGCATTTTAGTCTTATTTTAGTCAAAGAAAACTAATTATTTTAGTCTACTTTTTGTCAATGAAAACTGTTGAGTCTTTTTTAGTCATCAGATTATATAGAACATTTCAGTCAAACTAGTCTAGCCAAAACCAATCATTTGTCATTTTAGTCAAACGTATTTCACAATAAGATTATATCTTGTCCTTATTTGATGAAAAACACAGGTTGAATGATTAAGAATGCAGCTTTGCAGAGAGTATCTGGTCAGGTTTGTGGTGTTTTTACCAGCTGTGTTATGGCCACATTGCTTCCCTTCTGATAAAACAATGCATTCGCTTTTTTTCTCCGCCTCATTGTAACGAAAATGGGCCCAAATATCACATTGTTTCTTTCTCCCGAGCAGTGGTGGCGTTATACTTTTTCGTTGTCAGTCATTTTGACAGACAGGGTCGTAACATGTCCGTCATAATCCATTATTACCCGTCGAGTCTGTACACAACTCGTCACTCACTGTTGGGGGGGGGGGGGGTAAATGGAACTGCTGGGAGAAAAACTGACTATCAGAGATGTTACGTTATCTTTGGTAATTTTTCGTCAACAAAAGTAAAGAGATTTTGGCATAGTTTTTATTTAGTAAACTACATTTTCGTCTCGTCACTTTTCGTCAACGATATTGCATGTTGATTTCTTTACAGTTATTGTTTACTGCCGTCAGTGCCGTCTTGTCATCGTCTCGTTTTAGTCATGGAAAAAAAGGTCGTTGACGAACATATTTCGTCATAGTTTTAGTCAACGAAATTAACACTAATGTCTAGTTTTAAAATTAAGCATTATATTGAATACATTTTGTATATACTCCCACCACATTTTATTAATAATACGGCATACAATTGTCCAGTACAACAAACAACCACTCTATTTAAATTCTATTTATATCGCTCAGTATCGAATGACGGCAGATGCTGAGTAAGTAACATGTATTTATGGTACGTGGTGCCAAGCCATAGAGAGGACATGAGTGCATAAAGACAAGAGAAAGAGAATTAGGAGATGAGATGTGAAAAATAAAAGCTGAAAAGTGTAGGTACCCCGACAGTATAAGTTTACAGCAGCATAATTAAAGGTTGGTCAAGACAAGCACGAGCCAGCAGTATAAGCTTTATCACCAACAAACAAGCAACACTTTTTCACTAGGAGTGCACTAGGAGATATTTAAAGCTATTAATACCTACAGTATGTCTAGTGTTGCTATGTCCTTCTTCAGTCCACTGACATAGCATTTTGATTGCATTCACCTATAAGAGTATTCCCCTGTGTGGCATTGCATTCCTATAATATTAATGGACAGTTGCATCAAAAACACTTTAGCACAACCAGAGGTATCATTTTTCCATTACACTAATGTGTCTTCCTTGTAAGTGCTAACAATAATATATAGTACATTAATTATACTAATACATTGCTCTAAAGGAAGCCACCGTGTTGTATGTGTTCATGATTTTAAAACATTGTTGTGTGCATTGCATTGACAAACAGGATCACGCCAACCCCTAAGCAATGAGGTTTGGTGCAATGTGTCGTTTGTCACATTTTGATGTTAATTCATTAATAATTCTCCACCAACACTGCAGCAGGTGTACAAAACATCAACATTACATTTGATAATAAAACTACTGAAAACAAGTACTGTAAGTGATGTAATAATTGGGTTTACAATCATTATAACAAGATAAAAATAAACGTACATACAGTATGACTCCATTTGTTCCTCCTGATAATATACATCGGTACTTTTCTTCTTGCGCTAAAACTCGTGTTTTTTTAGCTCTACATATTGTACAGTACTGTACATGTAGACTTCTCTCCCATGCTACAGGCGGTCATCGCAATATTTCTCACTGGTGACACTTCTTTCCCCTCCACAGAGCATCAGCTGGTGCACAGAACCACCCTGAGGCTTAATGTTAGAGAGCAGGCAGAGTTTGAAGTCGGCTTCTGCTCCGACAAGCCCCTAATCGTCAAGGCCAAGATGTCACTGCATGTGGAGGACAACAAGTACAGCAATACCACAATACAAATAACTGGAGAAGCTTACCAGGAAATCATCTCTCTTGACAACATCAGCAGGTTATCGCAGGAAATAGAGGAAGATGATGAGGGAGGTAAGAGAAGAAAGGAGGATGAGAGAAAAAGTGATTTATTAGCATTGAAGCTAGTCCCTTATCCCACATTTTTTTACCAAGTCTATTTCTCTCCCACAGGTATTATGCATTTTGGTGACTGCCATGTAGATAGTCCCTACCAAGAGAGCTTCACCATGAGCAACCACAGCAGCCAGGCAGTGAGGTTCGAGTGGCCTCCTGCAGGATCGCACATCTGCTTTTCACCACAGGTAAAGCATTGAAGGAAGGAATCCAGCTGTGTACAGGAGTCGGTTTGAATCCACAGGAGGGGAAACATCCCGATCTTCTGCCAATCTCATTCATTCCACCACGGCTTTCCCCGTGTACCTCTTTATGTCTGTCCGCCATTCTTTTATTGTCCTTCCTGCACTTTTTTTTACTTCAACTGCACCATGCATGATGCTCTTGGCTACGGAGCCGTTCTTGTTAAATGTAACTAGTGGCGTGAGGAAGCCAATAATCTACATCCTTTTTCGGAGTGGGCGAGGGCAATGTAAAAAAAAAGTTACAAGATCTTCTGTATGAGAGCCCCGAAATTATTTTACACATATTTGCTTCGTTCAGACGCAAGACTTGCACACAAATGTGCTCTCTTTCTTCCTCCCTCTGTCTCTCTCACGCACACTCACAAGGTCTTGTTAATTTTTGCATAAAAACTGTTACTGTTATGTCCACCTCCACACACACTCCAGTCTCCATGACGAAAAACCACTGTAAGTTTCGCCGTCTAGCAGTTTCCATCAGCGATTCAAAAAACCCTGCCAGTCTTTATATCTCCTGTTTCACAGAGTTTTTTGTTCAGTGTACGGCATTTGATATGTCAGCCGAGCTTAAGTGTTTGGTACTTTTTTCCAAACAATTAACCTGATTTGCAGATAAGCGCACTATACACCTGAGCCACAGAAGTCCCCCTTATTTTATATAGTTTCCATAGCTGATTGGTAGCAATAGCCAATCTCCATATATACATACTATAATGTCCATGCTGTCTCCATACAATTGGTACTGCGCTACATCCTCCCTGGATCCGGCTACGAGGTCTATGTCATCAGCAAATCTGTTATACTTAATCTGCCAACTTTGATGGTACCAGTGATAACGTTGCATTCGATTTAAGATAACACCTCGCTGCATGTGATCAAAATCAATCCGCTTCTTCTTACAGGTTGGACACCTGCATGCTGGTTGTTCTAAGGAAGTGGTGGTCACCTTTTGCTCCAATCAGCCAGTGACTCTGACCAGCCAGCCAATGAGATGCAAGGTTAGTCAGGTGGAGTTCCAGCAGCCGCTAGAGCAGGTGGCTGACTGGGACGACCGACAGAGGACGGTGCAGTGGCTAAGTTCTTCCAGGCCGGCTTCAGCATCTCCCCAGCAGACTGGGAAGAATAAGGTCAATATGCTGATTGTAAAAGAGATGTTGAAGAGAATGTTCACATTTATACTGTAGTTGAGAAAACATGCATATTATTGCCCGCAGGTGAAAAAGACAGATCCTGAGCCCTGCTGCTCTGTAGTGGAGGGGTCCCAGTTGGAGTTGGAATTACGTATCAGCGCAGTTTGTGACTATGTGAAGTTCAGCTGCAACGCCGACACCATCGACTTCAAAGACACCAAGCTGTACCAAACCAGGCTCCACCAGTAAGTCAAGCTGTGGGGGGGAAACAGAGGTGTATGAATACACATTTAACAGGGTGTCCGCGGGGTCTTAAAAAGTATTAAAAGTTGATAAATCAGTTTAGGGAAAACTAAGACTATTAAAAAGTATTAAACGGCATTTTCCAAGGTATTACATTTTGTAGCTTGTTTTCAATAAGTATATAAATTCTCCAAAGAGGTTGTATTCTAAAGTTTGCCTGAATGTAATCATTGCGTAGGTGTGCAGTGTGATTCTGTGTAGTTTATTTATGGCATCCCGTTGGATTGGACGTCATCTGAACAGGACATCGCACGCTCACTGATAGCGCGCGAAGGTCCGTTTACGCCGGTTGTTAAACAACATCGTTTTGGGGAAATGCAAGTTTGCGTCCAAATGGTTAGAAGATAAGGAGGAAGGACAATCAATACTGTATAGTAAATGTGAGGTAAAGTGTGTCGCCAATGTATCTGGTTAAAACTCCAAGTGGCGATGAAAAGGGAAAGGGTCTTAAAAAAGGTCTTAAAAGGTATTACATTTGACTTCAGGATTCCTGCATATACCCTGTTTAAATGTCTCTATCCACAAAATATCTTTCAATGCACAAATAATTATCGTTTTATACAAATTAAAAAATAATCCACATATAGAAATAAATGTCATAAATATTATAGATCCACACATAAATATTTATTGATTTGTATCAATGTAATATAAATCAACCATATTTATTTAAAAGTGTTTGCAATTTGTATCTAACCCTTTTTTCATGTTGTGAACCCATTCGTGTGGGTTTTGTGAGACTCCCCTGATGTTGCTCGCTTCACAAAGTTAGTTTGAACAGGAAAACATCCGTAGCCAATTATATGTCTCCCTCATTTGCAGCCAATCACATGAGTGAAACCCCACGAGGGCATGCTTTTTATGTGCAGTTAACGTCAACATACACTGAAAAAAAGGCTGTTGGTTACACATATTCAAAACATTATGTTAAAGACACACAACTATTTTAAATCAAAGAAACATGAAATGTTTATGTTCATTTGAATATTTCCTTTAATATTAGGTATATTCATTTACCCTATGTTTAACCAACATGACTTTTTAATGTTCATTTTAGGCTTTTAATATGCTCAGTCTATTTAATTTGTACCTGTTAAAGCAACATGATTTCTTTATTTAAGCTCCACTGGAAAAAGTCTGTTGGATTTACATGAAAAAATATATGTACATTGGTTGCACATATTCAAATCATGTGTACTTTTCATTTGTACCTGTTAAAGCCACACTAATGTTTTGTTTAAACTACATGCTATAGTTTTCTGTTTAATCTACCTAGCCTGCTCAAGGTAAACATAAGATTATTTATTTGATGTAAATAGAGGCATTTCGTACATTCTTCTACAGGACCCATCCTAATCTCTTATCTACAGCATTTATCATAACATTTTTTTTTAAATAGTCAATAAAGACAAACACATTTCTTTGAACAACATTCATGTATTCTTAAATTAACCAACTACACATCCAGATGAGCTTTTGTTTTTTCCATCATGCAGCCTAAACTCTGCCATGAGAATTAACAAATACATTGAAAATAAAGAAATAGAATAAATAAAAAACGTGTGTGATGCATGTATACATACATTATTGTGTTAGAACACAGCAAGGAAGCTTAAAGGAAACTATTCTCCCGACAAAAATAAAGGTTTATTGTGCCAAATGGCAAAAAATGCTTATTTTTGTAACCATTATATTTCATAGTAAACAATTAACAAAAAATGCCAAATCCTAGCAGAAAAAAGGAAATGTTCTTGCAAATCCATTATTTAAATAGTAATCTCCTAATATGAAAGGGCACTTTAATACAAGAAAGTAATGGCATTGCTTTGTAAAAATACATTAAAGTATAATAATGGCCTGGTTTCTCATCACATATGCAGTAAAGAAAGTATTACAAATGAAAACACCCCAACAGTCTAATGTGGGGGAAAAACTGACATTTTGAAGTAGCATAATTAGATAAAGACACTTCTGCAAATCTGACATCGCAATTTGATGCAAGTGGTACATTCTGAAACACATGACCCAAGGAAAAAAACACACACTTCTGAAATGTGCAAATAAACACAGCAAAAAGCATGAACGAAGGAAGTGCAAGACAGTTGTATCGATGAAAGTCCAGTATAAATGCTGTAAAAGTGCACAATGGTCCATGGCAACAGCTCACTCAAATAGTCTGTTTTTAAACGCTTGGGCTTTCTTGGAGAGCATGTTGCCGTCTAGCTCCATTAAAATGTTCTGGAGAACTTGGAACATGCACTTCAGTTTAGGGGGGTAGTTCAGGTTCATTACATACATTAGTCCAAATAACATGGTAGCAGCTAATGCAATTTTGTCCACATCAGTAAGTACCTGTTGGCCTTCCAGGACAATCCCAATGTCCTCTGGTCTCATATTCAGGGTATATGCGCCGCTGCTAAAATGGTCATTAATATCCTCCACTCCAGTGGCGGTTCTAGCTGATATAGCCCCTGGGCGGTGCACCTTTCATCCGTCTTCTTTCCTTTTCTTTCTATACTGGGCACCTGAAGCCTTGTGCCTTTTTTTCTCCATCACCGTAGGTATACATTTTCGACCCGAGAATCAATGCATAGCGTACCCCTCCCCAACACTGTCAACTACAGGTCAAGACTATACCAATTTGCCGTAGTTGGTTTTTAAATAATTCTTTATTGTTTCATACAACCCAGGCCAGGAAAAAAATATATCGGCAAAACTATTTATATGAATGATTGTGGTGGCATTTCGAGGCATGAGATTAATTGTACTAATTGCAGTACTACTTTATAAACATCAAAAGTGTTTATTTGATAGATATAGTGTACCCGCCGCCCCCCTCTCTCTATCCATAGTGAGGCGACCTGAGATCACCCCCACCCTTCTTTGAGTGTGTATCCCAGCTGCCTGCTGTCATAAGGGCCCCCACGCCCCCTTCCACCCACAACAATAACAACAACAACAATACACTATAAGACATTTCGTGCAAATTGGCGCTTGTGCTGCCCCCAGTCAAAATGCCGCCCTCGGCAACTGCCCATATCAATATCCGCCACTGCTCCACTCTCTTGTATTCAGTGTCGCTATCCGGGTCACACCCCCACACACAATACACACATAGAGCGGATCGAAGCCGAGACATAAACGCAGTTGTTAAGGGATCCCACGGACAATGTTGTAATATCTTTAACAACCAACACCTTAAATGGGTAAAGATGGTCGCCTAGAAATGTAAGGTACGACCTGCCTCAGCGCCCTTAAAAGTCGGCACAAGAGTAGACATCCGGAGCTGGACCGAAGCGGTAAAATGTGTTCAGCAGACATTAAACAATCATTTAAAACAAGAAGTACCACGGCGCGAACATCAGGGTTGCCAACTTTGGGTACCTGGCTGGAGTGAGATTTTGATATCATGGGTTTAATTACACATATGTGCACTAAATGACTGCTACCGTGTCAGTAGCGGGACATTAGCATATATATAGGATATATACAAATACACAATATTGGACACAGACTATAAAGGGCACAACGTTTCATTCACTAATGAAAGTCAAACACATGTTTGTTTCCACTGTTTTATTGTGTGCATACTGTAGGCCTGTCGCGATAAGCAATTAATTGACTTATTGTACGATAAATTAAAATAAACTCCATAACTTTTCCAACCTCGATAAATTGCCATTTACATGAGGATGTGACTAGCAGTTTGAAAGGATGTACTCAAATTATTATTATATTATTATCATTATGTCAGTGGTCTAAAATGGTCATACAACGGTGCCGACAATATCGTTTATCGCAATAATTTATCCAACAAAATTAATTATCGTGAGAGGCCTATACATGAAACACACACACACAAACAAATCTACAGACTTACTACAAACTGCCAGATATATTAATTAACACACTCTCACTCTCATATACTCTTTGGCCTAGTAAATCAAATCAAATCAAGTTTTATTTATATAGCACATTGAACCATGCAAGAGCAGAGCCTGTAATACCTACGGACTGTTCAAGCCGTGACAACAGGATACTATGATCCACAGTGTCAAAGGCAGCAGTTAAATCTAACCGCACCAAGACAGCTGGGCTGCCTGAGTCGGTGGCTAAGAACAGATCATTAAAAACTCTTAAGAGGGCTGTTTCAGTGCTATGCATAGGTTTAAAGCCAGACTGAAATTTTTCATGGATACCATGCGTGGTTCAAAATGACTGCAGCTGGGCGTAGACTACTCGCTCCAGGGCTTTAGATAAAAAGGGTAGCTGGGAGATGGGCCTGAAATTTGCGAGAATGGAGGGATCGAGATTTTTCTTTTTAAGTAATGGCTTAACCATGGCATGTTTGAAGGCAACTGGGACACATCCTGAGCTAAGAGAGGTGTTTACAAGCAATAAAACACTTGCTAGTAGAACAATAAGCAGCAGACTTTTACTTTTTTATCATTTCTACTGGATCTTAGATCTGCGCATGCGCAATACGGGTCGGGATTGACCAACCGGCTCCCACTGCTCTGCTGTCTGTTAACGTTGTTAAGAGTGGTGGGGGCGGGGAGGGAGCGGATCGACAGCTTGAGCAGCTGTCAACTCAACATTGTAAATAACCAACCAAAAACGATCGCCGGTTCATCTTGTTTTTGGCGTGAGAATAGTTTGGGCAGCGTGAGAGCGTGAGATTGAGAGTGAAAGCGTGTGTCACACGCCAGATGCGTGAGAGTTGGCAACCCTGCGAACATCCCGCAAGCTCGTCCATCGGCTATGACTCCCCCCCCCCCTCCCCCTCCTCACTGAACTCGGCTAAATGTGCATAGCTAACTTTGGGCAAGGTTCATTGTTTTAAATATTGTAAAGCAAGCAACTGCCGCAGACCCGGCGCCAGAACAAATCTAAAGGGAGGGCATATGATTTTCATGGGAGGGCACCCAAAACCGTCATGTGCTGCGGGCCTGCGGCACAATATATATCAAACAGCAAGGCCAACAGCATTGCGTAAAGACGCACACTTATCGCAAATACATACACAAATAAAGGGCAACATAGAAACCACTTTTGAAACATTGTGTGCGTGGCAGCACAAACACTGGTAAATCACGAGCAAGGCACACTGGTTAAGGATGGCAGCTTCCTCATCGCTGCACTCCGAGAGAAATAGTAGAGACGGAGACGATGAACTGCTGTTAGCTCTATTATGGCATTGTGCATGTCGTGAGAGGTGTGTGTTGCTGTGTGGGGAATGCTTTCCATTATGTTTGGCCAACTCTGCATCTTTGTACTGCAGCGTACTCAAACAGCGATAGGAAGAGCCCACTGCCTGACTCGGACATGCTGTGGAGTGAATCGTGGTCACCTCTGAGAGGGAGTTGGTTGACAGCCAAAAAAGCTATAATATCAACGACAGCTGACACGTAATGATGGTTCCGTGCCAGCTGATCTGAACCAAAGTACTAATTTCCTTATTTGTTTCCTCGCGTATCTGTCTCTCTCTCCACAAACTCTCACATGAAATGTGTTCTTTTGATGCGGCATGTCTTAGCAGTCCTTTATCAGTCTGTAATGCGTGTTTCCAGTCGCAAAAACCTTTGACAGTAAAAGCCGCATCAGATGAAGACGTATTTACTTTAAACTGTCTACAGGGGAAACAAAAGGCTGCGTCTGCTTTTAACGAATCTTCAAGCCATGGTCTGTTGTTGTACCATGCAGCGGCAAAAGTGCGCTTCTTTCCTGAAAACAATCTCCCTGATAACGATCCAGTTTCACCTGATTGGGTTTATTAACCCCAAGATCATCTGGGGCTGTTGGTCTTTGAGCGGTTGCTGGCCCAATAGTACCTGTTGATGTGCTGCAAGGTAGCGTCTGTAGTGGAGGCACCGGCACGGAGCAGGAGCAGGAGCAGGAGCAGGAGCAGGAGCAGGAGCAGGAGCAGGAGCAGGAGCAGGAGCAGGAGCAGGAGCAGGAGCAGGAGCAGGAGCAGGAGCAGGAGCAGGAGGAGGAGGAGGAGGAGGAGGAGGAGGAGGATGCTGGCGGGTGTGGCAACGCAGGTGGTGATGACAAGGAGCTGTGCCTCGGAGGACAGCGTTGGTGGCGGCCGCCTTGATGAGTCAAGGATTGGGCTCGCTAACTCAGCCCCGGGGTTTGCCGAGGTCAAGCTTGTGACATTAAGGCGTGCTGCTGCAACGGCAGTACCATCGGCTGCAGTTCTTTCATCGCTATTTCGTTTTTAATAAATCCTTAGACCTTTTAAGCCAATTTCTGATGTCCATTTTGTAATTCAAACAGAAATGGGAGTCTACAGAATGCACAATAAACAAATCCAGAATAGTTGACAGAGTGTGACGCTGTGATTAGTCTAAATGTGGACGAATCACAAATCACAACAGACACATGCATTTATTTGACGTAGCCTGCTATTTTTATTTATTTTTTACTATCTGACATCACATACATCGTAGCATAAAAGTTCACAGTTTATTTATAATAAAAAAAAAAATTTATAAAAATATTTTTTTATAAATAATGAAAAATGTGTTTATTAGGGGAGGGCAGGAATGTCAAATGGGAGGGCCTGGCCCTCATCCTAGCTAACACCAGTGAATGACAATGTTTACAAATTGACAGCTGTATTACCGTTGCTTGGTGTAACGGGCAAATGTGAACTTTTTTGCAAACAATGCGTCTAAAGTGATAACCTCTAACTATGACAAACATTTGATGACATTTATTAACTTTTAATAACTTTTACCTTGTAGAGATCTCCCCGGAACAGAACCAGCTTACTCCTCCGATGCGGGAAAAAAGATGGTGGACCCTCCCGCCCTTTGTTTAAAAAAAAAAAACTTCAACATGTTGAAATAAAGATTTTTTGCAATTTGTTCTGCTTTTCATCTTGTCCATGAAAGTGTCATATTGTTCAATTACAAAACGATTAAAGTACAGTTTTGAGTCCGACCATTTTGATTTGTGAATACAATATTTGTCAATAATAATTAGAAGCTGAGTAATCGTCTGCAGAGCAAGCTGCTGACGTATGTGCTCAGTGGGCGGAGTTACAGAGATAAACATCACTTTTTTCTTATTTCTTAACATGACTGAGACTTATAGAATATACATCCCTCAAGAGTAAAATAGTTCTACGTGATTGATTGATTGATTGATGTTTGATGAGAGACATGAATACATTCTGTCTCATATATCAACTGCATATTTGTAAATTGAACAACCCCACTTTTCCCTGTTTTTCAGTGTAGCGTCTGGTGATGCCACTCCCGTATGGGGTCAGAAACGATATATAATCAAGATAAACTATGGACTCACACAAGATCTCATGTTGCATGTATTCCCATCTTTCTGACTGGTTACAATTAAATTGTAAAAGAAACAGCCACTTATTACATAAAAAATTGCTTGATGATTCATATATTTTCCGAACAGTAATTGATTAGTTGAGTAATTGTTGAATCTCTAATCCCAAATGTGACGTTAAGTTGTTTGTTTGTGTGCGTCTCTGCAGACTACAGATAGTGAATCACGGCACTGTGAAATTGGAATTCTCCTGGCAAGTCATCATGGATCAGAATAACAACATTTTAAACCATGAACAAAGAGGTACTACTCATACTTTTTGTTATTGTATATTCTGAAGTCTACATTATATATGACCGCAAAAACTGTGTTTGCTGTACCATTATCTTCAAAGATTGAATTGAACATACTTAATAACATTTCAATGCATGCCAGAATGAAGTTTGGGACTGTGTGCTGTAAATGTGAACATTAGTCGGTGTCTTCTATAACAGATGGGACCCAGAGCCCCCGACCAGGCAGCAGGTCAGCCATGTTAAGTGAAGCCCGTCCCTCCAGCGCTCTGGCCAGCGTCATGTCTCTCCTGACGGGGAATCCTGAGCTTCCTCCCGTCAGCGTCGAGCCCGGCATCGGGGCCATAGAGCCCGGGGAGATGCAGAGTTTCAGCATCCGCTTCTCACCTCTGGAGGTGGCCCAGTTTCAGGGCAGGATTATCTGCAGGTACAGTAAATACTTCTAAATGTAGTGACAAAAAAAATACACGTTGTATCCCGTAACTGGGAAAAAGGGAATTTATTTTATACTTTTATTTATTTTGTAATCATAGTGCAGGTGAGGACAGGGACAATAAAGCACAAGCAGTGAAAATACAAAATTATAAAAAAGCACAGGTACAGTTCACAATCCTTATAAAAGAGGTCTGACAGAAAATAGTACTTTATTAAGACATTTATAACAACCCCATGTTCTCAATATTAAAGAAGAGCAATGGAGGGAAAGTTCCTGTTGAATCAGCATTTTGTTTTTTACTTGCGGCCATAGTAACCCTTAAAAAGGGTGAGTACTTTAGGGATATTTACCAGGTACAAACATATAAAAGAAACGTCAGGTGTAGAATATCTGAGATGAAATGGCCTGCTCCTTTCCAAAAATAAATGAATATTCTATGTCAGAGCTGCAAACTGAACCATACAACAGTTAAAAGGCATGAGGGGATTTGGATAGTTTCACAAGAATGATTAATCTGACTTTTTGCTCTTTTATGTCTGCTCTTCTCTTTCAGTATCCCAAACCTACCGGATGTAGATGAGGCTCCCTGTATCCCAGTGTATGCCCGCAGCCTGTTGCCTCACTGCCACTTTGACCTGGAGGACTCAGACTATATCAGCGAGAAACGACAGAACCCTGAATTCAGGGGACCTCTGGACCCCAACATCAGGGTCATCGAGTTCAACTCTGTTGGTTTCTCTGTGCCATCGAAGAGGTGAGAGAAAGAGAGATGAAAGCATCAATGTAGGCCTAAAGGGGTTCTATTATGATTGATCAGGTTTGACCTTTCCTCTAGTGTGTTATATAGGTTTGTGTTCAAGGAAATGGTCTGCAAAGGCTAATATCCCAAAGTTCCCTCCAGAGAGAGTTTCTCTCCCACACACTCCCCCCTCCCCCCCCCCCCCCCCCCCACCGGCCGGAAAAACCTCCATTGGATAAAAGTGTTTGTAACACTTGAGCTTCTATAAGCTAGCACTCCAACACATTGTACGTGATAGGATAGGGAGGGGGGGGGTGGGGCATCTGTAAGCGGTTCACCAATCACAACAGAGTTGACCAGGTAACCAATCAGAGCAGACTGGGCTCTGGTTTTAGACAGAGGGTGAAAAGAGGTGCTGCAGCACAGGCAGTATGAGAAAAATAAAGAGCTTTTGGAAGCATGGAGACATGTCACAGTAGAGACACTACATCAGGGGCGGACTGGCCATTGGGAATACCGGGAGTTTCCCCGGTGGGCCGGTGCTGTGTGTGGGCCGGTAGGATTTTTTTGCCTAAATCCTACCGGCCCACATTTGTAAGTGTTCCGGCCCAGCCCAGCCCAGCGGAGTGTGGCCCATTGGGCTGGGCTGGGCCGTTTTGATAGGCTACCTTTGTTCCATCTATCAGTTTCAATTTCACACATCAGGCCCGTAGCAGCTGTCACTGTGCAGTGAACGATCAGGAGTGAGTGACTGAGAGACCTAGCTGGCAGTTGCTTACAGATGGATAAATACGCTCCAAAGCGTAAAGGCGTTTTTCTATACAGTATACAGTATTGTAGCGAGCCCTGGGTTCAGAGGGAGGGGCTTGCATAGGGGAGGGGGGGGGGGGTTATTAGGGAAACGGGGTTCAGGGGGAGTGGCTGTACGGCTGTACCCGTCGGATAGAAAAGGGGGAAGTGACGTCTGACTCAGAGGTCGCGCGGCTGTGGAGAAGAACGTGTTGCCCACATTCTGTTGCTGAGTTTAGGCTAGTTAGCTAGCAGGTTTATTGTTTTGGGTGCAGTCACTTTTGCCTCCGCTGTTCAAATAAATGTTGAAAGAAAAAGTATGTCTGTTTACAGTTATGTTTTATATGGGTAAGAAGAAGAAGAAGAAGAAGAAGAAGAAGAAGAAGAAGAAGAAGAAGAAGAAGAAGAAGAAGAAGAAGAAGAAGAAGAAGAAGAAGAAAAATACTTTTTTGACTTTTGCAAAAACACTTTATTTACATACGATCAATTTTACATTCGATC